CTTAGTTTACCACTAAAATAAAACGTCTTACAATGAATGAAGGTTTATTGGTGTGATACTGGAGTTAATGAATTCTTTTGTGTCTGCGTCTACAGATGAAAGTCAGTTTGTATATAGAAATGTCTGAAGGGATTTTATCACCAAGTCCATTACCTATTCATTTATTCTTCAGATCAAGCCATTTCATGCTGATTTCCTCATTTTCAAAGGAGGAGCAGACATATTGTTTATTCCCTTTAAATGTAATTTTCATTTCAAAGATCTTTTTATAATTTTTAAATTAACACGTTAAAATTAATTAAATTAAAACACAAGTTAAAATTAAATGTAACCTTATTGTAAGCTGATTGTCAGGGAAATAGTATTATAATAATTTCTAATGATATTGTTTGGCAGGGATGCTAATAATAACTTCTTGTACAAAAAAATTAATTCAGTAAAATACATTAATACAAATATATATTTAAGTAAAATATATTATTGTCAGGGTCTAGTTCACAGGTGTCAAACTCAGTTCCAAAAGGGCCGCAGCTCTGCATAGTTTAGTTCCAACCCTAATTAAACACACCTGATCAAACTAATTGAGTCCTTCAGGCTTGTTTGAAACCTACAGGTAAGTGTGTTGGAGCAGGGTTGGAACTAAACTGTGCAGGGCTTCGGCCCTCCAGGAATTGAGTTTGACACCCCTGGTCCAGTTCATTTGAAAAAAACTGAAACTGTACACACAGAAAGCATGTTAAAATAGCAGTAAAGAGTTTTCATTAGTTTTGTTTTAAATAAAATGGGAAAATATAGAAATAATTAGGTCTCATTGCCATTAAGCACAGCGCTATATTAACGTACAAATAAATATCCTTATTTTGCACTGTAGAAAATGCAGTATATAATTAATAAAATTTTCAAAATATTAATAATTTTGTGTGTGTGTATGTGTGTGTGTGTGTGTGTGTGCTCGCAACTAATAAAAAAAAAATTTATTAAATAATTCTTGGTCTAAATATGCCTATAATGTTTTTGTTACTCAGTTGGTGTTTCTGTGTGGAGTTTGCATGTTCTTCCTGCGTTTGCATGGGTTTCCTCCGGGTGCTCTGGTTTCCCCCACAGTCCAAAGACATGCGGTACAGGTGAATTGGGTAGGCTAAATTGTCCGTAGTGTATGAGTGTGAATGAGTGTGTATGGATGTTTCCCAGAGATGGGTTGCAGCTGGAAGGGCATCCGCTGCGTAAAAACATATGCTGGATAAGTTGGCGGTTCATTACGCTGTGGCGACCCTGGATTAATAAAGGGACTAAGCTGAAAAGAAAATGAATGAATGAATGTTTTTCTAATAAACTAATGTTGCAGTGAGTTACTGTACAAAAGTCAGCAAATCCTGGTAATAATATATTATAGTTGTTTAATTTTGTCTTATAAGAAACACATTTAGCAGCACGGTGGTGCAGTGGGTATTACAATCGCCTCACAGCAAGAAGATCACCGGTTTGAGCCCCAGCTGGGTCACTTGGCATTTCTGTGTGGAGTTTGCATGCTCTCCCAGTGTGCGCGTAGGTTTCCTCCGGATACTCCGGTTTCCCCCACAGTCCAAAAACTTGGGGTATAGGAGAATTAAACAAGCTAAGTAGTGTATGTGTGTGAATGAGAGTGTATGGATGTTTTCTGGTGATGGGTTGCAGCTGTAAGAACTTCCGCTGCGTAAAACATATGCTGGATAAGTTGTCGGTTCATTCCTCTGTGGCGACCCTGGATTAATGAAAAAAAAATGAACAAATGAATGAGGAAACAGATTTTTAATAAGTTACTAAATATATAAATCTATGTTAAACTTCCAATGTTGCATGAAAAAGTAGTTTGATCTTTGGTCCATAGAAAAATTAGCTAAGCAATAAATAAATACAAAGTAATGAATCAGAAAACCACACCACAAAGTCACTAAAACTTGAAATGGATTTGGAAAGTATTAAAATAAAACAATTTTAAATGTTAAAATGAAGCTGAAATTTTAAATAAAACAATAACAAGACTTCTAAAGGTAAACCTGCTTAAAAAGGTTTTTATGAGTTATTTTTTAAAATATTTGTTTGCTGCTTTTGCACTTTTTCCATGTTAAAAGTGGAATTAAATCTCTATAAGTATATTTTAGTTGTCACATTGTTCAGTAAGTGTAAAAAAACACTTTTCTCTTTGTATATTTCTCTTGCTTTATCCATTACACTGGCAAGTTTTGTCCTTATAAAATCTCTGCAGACGCTCCTCTGTGCATCAACTCTTTTTGTTAGAGCAGATCTTGTAGAAGGCTGTGAAAACCACTGTAATCAGTTACATAAGAGCACTGCAGAGCTTTCCTGCATATGGACACACTGTACAGATACTGAAGTACTATAAAGAACCATAATACTTCATTCATTAATCCTCTCTGTAAATGTCTCATGCTGCTTCGGTCACGGCCACAAGCTTCTCAGTATTGTTTGTGCAGGTTTTTAAACTAACAAAACATGACTGAAGGAGCATTTAATAGCTTAAAATGAAACACAATGAGCCCTGAATGAGTTTGATAATGTTTGCTGTTTGAGATTAGACATGTCAAGGTTTAAGGACTATTATGTTTTCTCAAGATCACGGTTCAGCCATTGTCATTTACTGAGGTTTATTCTTACAGTTGCTATTCCTAGAGCGCCAATGATGCTGCATTATCCTGTTACAAGAATAGAAACATACGACAAAGGAGCCATTATAACCCTAAAGAAAAATTAAGGGTCTTGCTAAAAATATTAGCATTATTTATTTACGAATTGTTTTATTATTTCTGCATATAAAGACTTTATTTTGCTGGAGTTTATAGCAGCTTCACTTTACTTTAGGACGCATCAATGTCGTTCTGTAGGTCTGTTGGAGACATTCATAAAAACTCCTAGCAAATCTAATAATCTCCTGGTTACATAAACGCACTAAATCAGACTTCAGCAGCGTTTATTTGAGAGCGCACAAGAAAATTTGTGCTTGAGCATATTTGGGGGAAGAAGTTTTGTGCATGAACAGAGGAAATTGGTGCTCAAGCAGAGAGATTCGCATACTCATATTACTTGATTGTGATCTTGACTGTGTCACAACATATCTCATTGAAATAACACCATAGGTAGTTGGTAGATCTTTGTAAAAAGCCTGCCGCCACAGCTAAAAAAAATCCTAAAGGGAAACACAGTATATATATATATATATATATATATATATATATATATACACACACAGTTGAAGTCAGAATTATTAGCCCCCCTGATTAATTAGTCCTGATTTCAACACATTTCTAATCATATTAGTTTTAATAACTCATTTCTAATAACTGATTTATTTTATCTTTGCTATAATGATAGTAAATAATATTTGACTAGATATTTTTCAAGACACTTCTATACAGCTTAAAGTGACATTTAAAGGCTCAACTAGGTTAATTAGGGTAATTAGGCAAGTAATTGTATATGTGATGGTTTGTTCTGCAGACTATCGGAAGAAATATAGCTTAAATGGGTTAATAATTTTGTCCTTAAAATGGTATTAAAAAATTAAAGACTTTTATTCTAGCTAAAATTAAAGAAATTTCCCTGCTCTGTTAAACATCATTTTGGAAATACTTAAAAAGAAAAAAAAAAAAAATGATATATTATATTATATTATATATATAATATATATATATATATATATATATATATAATGTGTATATATATATATATATATATAAATTGCAGCTGCTGTCTGGGTTTTCCATGCTATTTAAACCTCCTTTTCTTCATGTGTTCAATACTTATTTGCTGTGTAATTTCATTTTATTACACAAAACTTATTTTCTAAACTCATTAATTTTGTTTTCATTGTAAGTATGGATTCTTTTGGTTGTTATCGACATCTGGTGAAAAATTCAAGTCTGCAGCTCCTTTACAAATATGTTTTCTGAGAAAAAATGCTGACATGTTCAATGCTGTTTTTAACTGCTGTACATACTCTTCTCAAAATATTACTTTTTTTTATAATGATTTAGCTTTATTTTCTTTTTCTGAAATCAGTTGATAGTGTCCTTGACTGTATTTGTGCTCATTGTTTTGCTGAAATGTCCACTCTGGTTTCATCTTTATCATCTAATAATCCTGATGTTGGCACTGAAGCAGCTAATATTTATTTACACTGACAAAGGGCAGATTTGCTTACAAAAAACGGAGAGATTTAAGCTTCTGTCGGTCATTCCATGCCTTTTTACATATGCCTTTCTTCATGTGTTCAATACCACGTTTTCCCCTGTGTCATTTAAATTCATTACACAACTAATCAATTTTGTTTTCATTGTAAGTGTGGATTATTTTGACTGTTACCGACATCTGGTAAAAACTCAAGTCTACAGCCGCTTTAGAAATATGTTTTCTGAGAAAAATGGTGATGTGTTCAAGACTTATTTTATCCGCCGTACAAAAACTTTTTCTTTGCAATGATTCAGCTTTATTTTATCTTCTATCAATCAATCAATCAAGTTTTCTTGTCTGTGTTTTTGCACATTGTTTTGCTAAAATGTCCACTCTGGTTTCATCTTCATCATCTGATAATGCAGATGTTGGCACTGAAGCAGCTAATATTCATTTACACTGATGAGGGGCAGGTTTACTTTCCAAAAACGGAGAGATTTTAGCTTCTGTCTGGTCATTCCATGCCTTCGTACAACTCCCTTTCTTCATGTGTTCAATACCAGGTTTTTCCCCTGTGTCATTTAATTTCATTACACATTTTATTACACAACTAATTATTTTTGTTTTAGTTGTACTCATGGATTACTTTGGTTGTTACCGACATCTAGTAAAAATTCAAGTCTACAGCACTTTTAGAAATATGTTTTCTGCGAAAAATGATGACATAGTTTAATACTTTTTTTTTACCGGCTGTATATATACTACACAAAATTAAACTTTTTTTTTTTAGAAATGGTTCACAGTGTATGTGTATGTGTTTTTTGTGTCTGCAGTATGTGGCTGCGATCTGGCCCAGGGAGGATTTTTCATGAAGAATGGAGAATATCTGTGCACTCTGGACTACCAGCGCATCCACGGCACGCGCTGTAACATCTGTGGAGAGTTTGTGGAGGGAGAGGTGGTGACGGCGCTCGGAAAAACCTACCACCCAACATGCTTTGTGTGCACAATCTGCAAGTAAGAGCCCACACACACACATGCACACACACACTTTGAAAGTATACAGTCATTGCTTTAGGGTGAATCCAACACAGACTGGAGTTTTATCCTGGATCTTATCGTTTTTTTTGACCTACAGGAGACCATTTCCAGCTGGAGACAGAGTAACTTTCAATGGCAAGGACTGTCTGTGTCAGTACTGTGCAGAGCCAATGTCTCCGGGACCCACCAAAGATGTCGTCGGACCCAGCAGTGAGTACGAGAAGAAAAACTCAAAAAGTAAAAATCATTTTCGTCAGTATTTTTGTGTCTTACAATTCTGAGATGTTTTTACTTGTTTAGTCAATTAGGTTGAGCTGTGAGCAACATACAGCTGAAGTCAGAATTATTAGACCCCCTGTTTATTTTTTCCCCAATTTCTGTTCAACAGAGAGGTGATTTTTTTCACCACATTTATAAACATATTAGTTTTAATAACTCATCTCTAATAACTGATTTATTTTATCTTTGCCATGATGACAGTAAATAATATTTGACTAGATTTTTTTCAAGACACTTCTATACAGCTTAAAGTTAAATTTGAAGGCTTAATGGTCAATTAGGTTAACTAGGCATCTTAGGATAATTAGGCAGATTATTGTATAATGATGGTTTGTTCTGTAGACTATCGAAAAAAAAAATCTAGCTTGCAGGGGTAATAATTTTGACCTTAAAATGTATTTTAAAAAATTAAAAACTGTTTTTATTCTTGCCGGAATAAAACAAATAAGACTTTCTCCAGAAGAAAAAATATTATCAGACATACTGTGAAAATTTCCTTGCACTGTTAAACATCATTTGGGAAATATTTAAAAATAAAAGAAAAATTCAAAGGGGGGCTAATAATTCTGACTTTAACTGTAAACGAAAACGTTCCTCTATATACATGTCTGGAGATCGCGAATTATGTAGCCAGAAGAATGTATGGCTGCATTTCATCTTTAAAATGAACGCTACATGGCAGTATGACGCCTTTCCTTTTAGCACTAGCAGCTGACAGCTTACCTATGGACAGCTTTCCCGCTGTTACCAATTTGTTCAGTAGCTCGCTATGTAAGTTGACGGATTTGACACGCTGAGAGGAGTTAACCACAACAACAGGGTTCGAGTCTGTCGAAGAATGGTTCCAGAAAGCAGCTAAAACAAAAACAAAAGGCAAAAATAAATCATAAATAATGAAAATAAACAAGTAAATAACAGGGTGGTAAAATCTGAAAACATGGTAAAAATCAGGCGAGGGGTTTTCTTTTTCTGAATTGCTTTTGAAAACACTGTTGGTTGGGTTTTTGGAAGTGGCTGGGCATTGGTTAATCGGTACTTTTGAAATTTGAGATCTCAAAAGCGTACTCAGCGGCCTCTGGTGGATTATGTGGTACCAGCAGGTGCAAATGGGACTCACGAGAGAAATGCAAGATCTCAAAAGTGTACACATCGGCCTCTGGTGGATTTGCGAAAGCAAAAACTGTAAAAAAAAAAAAAGAAAAAGAAAAAAAAAACATACCTCTCGTGATGTATTTGACACTCTCCAGAAATGTATATAGGGCTACATTTTATGTTTTGGCTATGAGTTATGTAAATTTATGTTAAGTCTTTTATTTAAATAAAAAATGAATATTTTATGCTTAAAACAAGAACAAAAAATCTGCTACTGTATTTAGAAAATAACAAAAATTAATAAACAGAAATTTAATCCTATTGTCAGATTTTTTTCTATTTTAACAAACAAAAAAATCATTTAAAAAATGTTATCAGAAATCAAGACTTTAAATCAATATGATTCTCAAACAAATCTATTGTTATTCCAGAATAAGTGTATGGGAATTTACATTCAATAAATAGCACTTTTCAGGCTTGTATTTAATAAAAAATCTAGGAGTGACATTTCTGCCCTGAAACTCTATGTGTGTTCAGGCTGATAGGTCACCTAATTTGCTTCTGCATCATTAACTACATGGCACAAGAGATTGGTTGCCAATGAGCTTGCTCCTCATCATTTTACGCCCATAAGTTGAGGCGCGTTTTTAGAGACCCAACTCCACCTGAGTTTAGATCTGCTATGGGTGATACATATACAGTTGAAACCAGAAGTTTCATACATTGTAAAAATAAGGCACATAACCTTTAAAAAAAAAGTCAGAAGGTAATGTGACTAAACTTTTTCTCTTTTATGTAAGTTAGGATTATCAAATTTGTTTCTTTTATGCTTAAAAGCAGAATAATGAGAGAGATTATTTTGAGAAATCGTTATAACTTTTTTTAAAAGTCAAGTTTACATACAAGAAGATTATTAGGCCTCTGAAAAAAAGACTAATTATTGGAGTCGTGTCCTGTGGTGTGACAGAACTAAGATTGAACTGTTTGGCCATAATGACCAGTCCTACGATTGGAGGACAAAGGGGAAAGCTTACAAGCCTAAGAACACCATCCCAACTGTAAAATATGGGGGCAGCAGCATGTTGTGGGGCTGTTTTGCTGCAGGAGGGACTGATCCACTTCACAGCATAGATGGCATCATGAAGAAAGAACATTATGTAGAAATACTGAAGCAACATCTCAAGACAACAGCGAGGAAATTAAAACTTGGCCACAAATGGGTCTTCCAAACAGACCATGACCCATAAGCATACTCCCAAAACAGTTAAAATGTGCTTTAAGGACAACAGAGTGAATGTTTTGGAGTGGCCATGACAAAGCCCTGATCTCAATCCTATAGAAAATTTGTGGTCAGAGTTGAAAAAGCTTGTGCGAGCAAGACAAATGTGACTCATTTACACCAATTCTGTCTGGAGGAATGGGCCAAAATTCCGTCAGACTATTGTGAGAAGCTTGTGGAAAGATACCCAAAACATTTGACCAAAGTTATACAGAGTAAAAGCAAAGCTAAAAAAATACTAAGGAAATCTATGTAAACTTTTGACTGTCAGATTTGCAGAAATTAAAAAAAATATTCTCAAAAAATGTCTCTCATTATTCTGACATTTTGCAAATGTAAATGATTTAGGTAATTCTAACAGACCTATAATTTTAAAGGTTTAGTATGATTTACCATCAGACGTTTTTAAAAAATGTAACTTTTATTTTCAACTGTATACTAGGTTTGTAGCAACAGCGTGTTATATTCTCAGACGGCATGTCTGTGTATATACTGGCAGTAGCAGGTCTCTGTACTTGATCTGCCATAATATCCAAAGCAGCAGCAGCAGCAGCGTAGCAGATCTATACCACCAAGACCAAATACATCAACATTTTCATATAGATGTTCATCACCATACTAAATCTTGTGTTTCAAGCTCATTCCCATTAGTGGAAAATATGTTTTTGAACTATAAGAACAATATAAGAATTTTATAACTGTTAACATAACTTATAGCTTATTTAATCATAACTCCCTGGTCAAATTGTTCCACTTTAAAAAAATAGAAATAAATAGAAATACCATCAGTGTACATTTACTACAGTAAAAGTGGCACACAAATAATGCCTCCACACAAAGCACAACCTAATGGAAACAGAATTGATTGTGTAAAATCCTGTAAAGCCACTTAGAGATGCCCTAGCGTGAATATACAGTATGGAACTGTAAATTATTCAGATCCTCCATCTCTCTTTGTTCCCTGTTTCTGAGTGTTTGGGGGCTTTTTTGGCCAGAATCCACCTACTATGATCAATAATTTATAATTATTCCCACTTAAGTCTTTAAGCTTGACAACTGAAGCCAATCATCAGCTTTCATCTACAAGGTATACAGTAAAATGTGAAGAAGGAGAAAAAAAAGCAGATATCAGTAATGCACAAAAAAAAACATTAAGCAATGGTATTAATAAATCAAAGTTTGAGTCATCAGTCACCTACTTTTTAATGCATATTTCAAAAATGCACATGCATAGAATCTTAAAAATGTACATAAAAACAAAAGTGCTCAATTGAAGCTTAACCTTTTTTCTATGTAAATATGTTTTAGATAAATTCTCAGAGCAACAATTAAAATCTTATTTGACTTTGCCTCAGTAGATTATGTGATTGGCTAAATGATCAGCAGACTGATCTCTTTTATATACTTCATATACTCCCAGGGCTGTTTATATCAAAGTTGATAATTACTCACACTATGTTAGTGTTTTGTAACATCTATTTTTTTACGAGGTGGGTCGTTAGCCCAATGCCTCACCCCCAACCTGGAGGACCAGGACATACACACATACAATACAGACAGTTAGGCTTACCCAATTCACCTACAACAGCTGGGACTCGAACCAGCGATCTACTTGCTGTGAGGCAACAATGCTACCCACTGCGCAACCGTGCCTCTTTTTCACATACAGCAAGTAAAATAAGTATTAAAAATGTTATGATTTATTTCTGGTAAATATATTTCTAAAGAAGCTGTTTACAGGTAATTGACCAAGATTTTGGTTAAAAAAACATACAAATAAAAAAATAAAACAAAAAACTGACACATTAGTTATGTGAAATAACAATGGAATCACACAAGAAAAAAACTACTGACCTGCTGAAATGTATTAAACACATTGAAAAAAAAATAATAATAAAGAGGCTGTTTTGGTAATGACAGCTTCAAATAAATTAGAAAAAATCTCAGACGAAGCAAATAAAATCTCATTTGACTTTGCCTCAACAGATAATGTGATTGGATAAATAAACTGATCAGCAGACTGATCTCTTCCAAATCGTTTCAGATGTTGTTTCAGTCATTCTTATGTCCTATTAAGTCCTATTTAAGAAAATAGAGCTACAGTGGTTTCCCTAGTTGCAGAAACTTTCATTTTTATTTTTGATTTTGCACCAATCTAAAATGTGGCTTCATTAACTTAATTGTTTAGAGCAGGGGTGCCCAACCTTTTTCCTGGAGATCTACCTTCCCTCAGACTTCAGCTGCAACCTTGATCAAACACATCTGTCTTTAATAACCAAGTGCTCCTTCAGATCCTTCTTATGCCGCGGTAACACTAGAATTTGAGCTTGCGAAATTCTGTTGTATGGCGCAGCGAAATAGGGGCAGGATTATACAAGATTTTTAGACGTTTAAAAAAGCGAGCGATCGGTCCATATTTTAAATTTCTGTCCAGAGAGGTCATATTTTGATCTTTGATTGGTCTCACGCAGTCACGTGATGTGATTTCGCAAGGCAGTAAACTGCGAAATTTGCCGCGCGAGTTTGCGTTTCCGATCTGTTGCATTCGCGTGTGTATGAATGGAAGTCTATGGGGAGAAAAGTCCAGTGTGAACGCGGCTTTAATTGGTTTAGTGGTGTTTGATCAGAGTTGGAGCTGAACCATGCAGGAAGGTAGATCTCCAGAAACAGGGTTGAGCACCCCTGGTTTAGAGAATAGATTTGTTATGCAAGTTGTTAAATTTATGAGGAAACAAAGCTGGCATTGTGGCCAAAATCCTTGCTAGATCTTCTAATTCAAATATTATTTGTCACATACACTGTCATCCACTATACAGTGTTATCTCTAGATTTCTTTTTATAATCGCACATAAAAATGAGCCCAGTTTTATTAATGAGCATAAGTTATTTCTTTAAAACTTGAATTTAAAGAAGGATTTTACAGGATTTCCCGTGTCTGTGTGTTTCAGGTTGTGCCGGCTGTGGCAGAGACATTAAGAACGGCCAGGCTCTGTTGGCTCTAGAGAGGCAGTGGCATTTGGGTTGTTTTAAATGTAAGGCCTGTGCCAAAGTATTGACCGGAGAATACATCAGCAAGTAAGACACACACATACACACATTTACACACACTTTGAATCCATCTGAGGTGATGGATGACTCTGCGCTGGCTTGTTGTTTTGTGTGCAGAGACGGCGCCCCCTTCTGTGAGCGGGATTATCAGCTTCAGTTTGGAGTGCAGTGTGAAGCATGTCAGCAGTTCATCACAGGGAAAGTTCTGGAGGTAAGCACACACAAACAAGTACAGTCAGTCTGGATATGTGTGTGGCTTCTGGTTCATCTCTTAGCAATAAAGGGTTGTTGATTTTGTGACGAATATGTAACTTCAATGGACATTTGTCATTACATATAAGGTTCATTATTAAAAATACAGTTATTTAAATTATTAGAATATCCTTTACACAGTACACAATATATCTCTATATTATTTGCCTCCTTATTCATTCATATTCCTTCTACTTAGTCCCTTATTTATAAGTGGTCACCACAGTGGAATGAACCACCAACTATTCAGGCATATGTTTTTGCACAACGAATGTTCTTTCAGCCACATCCCAATACTGTTTGTCCCTTTAATTTCTTTGCATGTTTCATTCATTCATTCATTCATTTTCCTTCAGCTTAGTCCCTTATTTATGAGGCGTTGCCACAGCGGAATGAACCACCAACTATTCCGGCATATATTTTTGCACAACGAATGTTCTTCCTGCTGCAACCCTGTACTGTTTGTCCTTTTACATTCTTTGCATGATTCATTCATTCATTCATTTATTCATTTTCCTTCTGCTTAGTCCCTTATTTATGAGGGGTTGATACAGCAGAATGAACCACCAACTATTCCGGCATATGTTTTTGCACAATGATTGTTCTTCCACCTGCAACCCAGTACTGTTTGTCCCTTTACTTTCTTTGCATGTTTCATTCATTCATTAAGTAATTAATTAATTTATTTTCCTTCAGCTTAGTCCCTTATTTATCAGAAATTGCCTCAGCGGAATGAACCACCAACTATTCGGCATATGTTTTTATGCAACAGCTGTTCTTCCAGCCGCAACCTAGTACTGTTTGCCCCCTTACATTCTTTGCATGTTTCATTTATTCATTCATTTTCTTTCGGCTTAGTCCCTTATTTATTAGGGGGCACCACAGCGGAATGAACCACCAACTATTCCGGCATATGTTTTTACGCAACAGATGATTTTCCAGCTGCAACCCAGTACTGTTTGCCCCTTTACATTCTTTGCATGTTTCATTCATTCATTCATTCATTCATTCATTTTCCTTCAGCTTAGTCCAGGGGTCACCAATCTCAGTCCTGGAGGGCCGGTATCCCTGCAGGGTTTAGCTCCAACTTAGCTTCAACACACCTGCCTGGATGTTTCAAGTATACCTAGTAAGACCTTGATTAGCTTGTTCAGGTGTGTTTGATTAGGGTTGGAGCTAAAATCTGCAGGACACCGGCCCTCCAGAAACAAGTTTGGTGACCCCTGGCTTAGTCCCTTATTTATCAGGGGTCGCCACCGCGGAATGAACTAACAACTATTCCGGCATATGTTTTTAAGCAACAGATGTTTTTCCAGCTGCAACCCAGTACTGTTTGCCCCTTTACATTCTCTGCATGTTTCATTCATTCATTCATTTTCCTTCAACTTAGTCCCTTATTTATCAGGGGTCGCCAAAGCTGAATGAACTACAAACTATTCTGGCTTATATTTTTACGCAACAAATGTTCTTCTAGCCGCAACCCAGTACTGTTTGCCCCTTTACTTTTTTGCATGCTTCATTCATTCATTAATTTTCTTTTGGCTTATTCCCTTATCTATCAGGGGTCACCACAGTGGAATGAACCACCAACTATTCCAGCATTTATTTTTATGCAACAGACGCCCTTCCAGCTGCAACCCAGTACTGTTTGCCCTTACTGATTTATTTTTTCTTTGCATGTTTATCACACTTTATTAGTAAGTTATTAGCAATTAGTTTTTTTTAGTTAATTAGTTAAAGTTAATAGTAACTAATATAGTTATGGTAACTAATAACCTTAGCTTTTCTAATTTTGATTGTAATGCAATAATATGCACCTTTTGTAAAGCTGCTTAGAAACAATAATTGTGAAATTATAGCAAAATATATAGCAAAAGTGCTTTACAAATAAACTTTTATTTTGTGCATTTATTTTGAACTGTGATCCAAACTGAGACTGGAACTACCTGAACCGCCTGGTTTTCGACCACAATAATTCATTAGTATGGTATTGGGCCTTCTTTTGCTGCCCATACAGCATCAATGTCAGTCTTGGGAATGACAGATACAAGTTCTACACAGTGGTTAGAGGGATTTTAAACCATTCTTCTTGCAGAGTAGTGGCTTGGTGACTACGTGATGCTGGTGGAAGAAAACGTTTCCTGACTCGCTCCTCCTAAACACCCCAAAGTGACTCAATAATATTTAGATCGGGTGACTGTGCAGGCCATGAGAAATGTTCAACTTCATTTTCAAGTTCATCAAACCACTCACCAGTCTTGCTTTGTCTATTGGTGCATTATTATCTTCAAACACCACACCGCCTTCAGGATACAATGTTTGAACCATTGGGTGCACATGGTCCTCTAGAATGGTTTGTTAGTCCGTGTCTGTGGGACTTGTGGGACCAATACTTGTGCATCTATAGCACAAGTATTGGACCTGGGGAATGCCATGATATTGCAGCCCAAACCATCACTGTTCCACCCTCATGCTTCACTCTGGGCATGCAGCAGTCTGGGTGATATGCTTCTTTGGGGCTTTTCCACACCGTAACTCTCCTGGATGTGGGCTTTTAAAGGGATAGTTCACCCAAAAATTCTAATTACATCACCATTTACTCTTCCTTGTGTAGTTTTAAACCTTTATAAGTTTCTTTATTCTGTATTATGTTAAACACAAAATAATTCATTTTGAAAAATGCTGGTTGGAAATGCATAGTAGGAAAAAAAGTACTATAGGAGTCAGCATTTTTCAAAATATCTTCTTTTGTGTTCAACAGAAGAAAGAAGCTCAAACAGGATTTGAACAAGTGAAGGGTCGATAAATGATGACAGAGATTTCATTGTTGGGTGAATGATCCCTTAAATAACTGATCTTAGATAAACCCGGTCAGTTTATTACATCTGCTTAGTGTAATATTCAAAATAAATAATACCAACAGTTTCTCATTAAGCGGTCAGGCCAAAAAGGTATAATTAACTACCACTCCAGTGACTCAAAGGCAAGCAGAAAGTAGCTCAGAAACTAAGCAAATGATTTGTGAACCTAAAGTTTGTACAGAATATGTCCAACTTCCTGTTTTGAATAGGAAATGTCGACAGGACAGAGCATTGCATTTATCAAACAGCTCACCGGCTTGCAAGTGTTTTTGTTTACATTCAGTGCAGTTCTTTTGTGCCAACAATCATAAACAACTTTTTGATCGGCACAAACTACAGCAATTTTAATGGAGGGTTGTATTGTTATTGTATTTTTTTTAATAAGACCCATCTTATACTGTAATTACTACACCATACAACTGCAGTATATACCGCGCAACAAAAAACAATGTTTGTTTAAGAGACATACAGGATAGAAGAATTTTATGTCACATATATTTGATCTCAGACAGATTACCATCTAAGTTTCACAATAGCGCACAACATCAGACTCCACAGTGCTGCAACAGGAAGTTTCATACAGCTAGCTGAAGCCGATTGGCTGTTAGAGAGATGTTTGGTCTTTGTCTTAACACTTCCTGTTTGTTTTAATGGAATGTTTGTGCATAAAATGAGCCCTGAATGAAGGATTTGGCTAGTTTGAGCTCTTAAGAAGATCTCCACACAGCTTGTAAGTCTCTGATTTTGTAAAAACTTTTGATTTATGATTGACTTATAATTAACTCATATTTAATTATTAAAAATAATGTCTAAACCTGAACCTCTCTATAGCAAGTAATATATAATTCGCATATATCAGTGTTAGATTTGTTACTTCAAAATAGTAATGAATTAATAAATACATCGTTAAAATCATATATTTAAGTTGTTTCTCTAATAATTTTGTCTGAAAAGTTACTTAATTACTTGACTTGATACTATTTAAAATCAATATACTGTGAATCTCAATGCTTATAGATGATATCAATTAAACTTTTAATTTAAGTCAAACAGAAACATTTAATTTTTTTAATTTACAGTTAAATTAATATACAGTTAAATTAATATACAAATTTAATATATTGACTTTATTTTATTGTTTCTCAGGCATGTGGAAATGTTCTAATCTAACATTGTTTAGTTGAACCAAATCATGTTATTATTATTATTATAATACTATTATTATCAAATAATATATACAATATGTGATGTGTGTATACAATTACTCGGCTTCTCTTAATGTAAACGTTATATTTTGTTTGTATTAATGTACAACTAATTACTCATTTAATATTTTTTCTAAAGCATGTGCCATCATTCTGATAATTTTAACCTTTGGTAGATGAAAATCTATTAATTATTGCCACTTTTCATTTAAAAATAAATAAAAGTTGAGGAAAAAAGCTGGCTTTAAACTACAATAATTCATTAGTATAGTAATAAGGCCTTCTTTTGTGGCCAATACAGCATCAATTCATCTTGAGAATGACAGATACAAGTCCTGTACAGTGGCCAGAAGGATTTTGAGCTATTCTTCATGCAGAATAGTGTAGCCAAGTCACTATGTGATGCTGGTGGAGGAAAACGTTTCCTGACTCACTCCTCCAAAACACCACAAAGTGGCTCAATAAAATTTAGGTCTGGTGACTGTGCAGGCCATGAGAGATGTTCAACTTCACTTTTATGTTCATCAAACTACTCTGCCAGCAGTCTTGCTGTGTCAATTGGTGCATTATCATCCTGATACACGGCATCACCATCAGAATATACAATGTTTGAACTATTGGCTGCACATGGTCCTCCAGAAGGGTTCTTGGCAGCGATGCACCCGTCTAGCACAAGTATTGGGACTGTGGAATGCCACGATATTGCATGAAGATCTATTAATTATTCTGTAAAGTGTATTTGTATGACAAAAAAAAAAAAAATGATATATATCATATGTGTATCAAAACATGCTTTTCTGAATTGCTTCAGTTATAACTGTTAAATTTATGTACAGTATTTAAGGAAAGTACTGTGTAACGGATCAGACATTCTCTTAATTGGCACCTAAATTGCAGAACTCTTTACCCTCTGATATTCACAATGCAGAATCCCTGAGTGTTTTTAAATCATTAATTAAACTTAGCTTTTATTTGATTTTTAAATATATTATTATTAAGATTATTTTTTGTTTTTAATTATTTTTATTACTGCATTTTTTTGCATTTATCCTTGTACAGTATGTATCTTTGATGCAACACAGGCTCATCCTGAAAACGCAGCTCTATATACATTTCTGGAGATCGCAAATTATGTAGACAGAGAAAGGTATGGCTGCATTTCGTCTTTAAAACAAATGCTACCGGGCTCTATGACGCCATTCTTTTTCTCAATTACCAGCTGACCACTTAACCCTATATGGACGGCTTTACCAGTGTTGCCAGTTTGTCCAGTTAACTCGTCGTGTAACTCAAGTGGTACTTACTGCAGAGCCACTTGGGTAGAGCTGAGCTCCAGCAAGGGGGAGCTTAAGCTCCAGCTCCTCCTTCCTTGCACTTCTTCTACAAGTGATGTCACTGGGGGTTGTGGGTAGGGGTGGGGTGGGTGTACGCATTAAAACAGCTTATAGGAGGAGGAGTTGGAGCTCAAGTTCCCCCTCACTGGAGCCCAAGTGGTTCAGCAGTGAGCAGTGAGGAGTGTAACTTGGCAGACTTGAGACGCAGAGTGGAGATGATAACAACAAAGGAGTTTGCGTCCAGTAAAGAATGATTCAAGAAAGCCGGTAAGACAAAAACAGAAGCCAAAAAATCTAATAAACAAGTATATAACAGGGTGAGAATGTGGTAAAATCTAAAAATGTGTTAAAAATTAGACGAGGGCTTTTCTTTTTATGGATTGCTTTTGAAAATTGTCGGTTGGGTTTAGGGAATTGGGTGGGCGGGTCAATCGGTGCTTTTGAAAACACTATTGGTTGGGTTTAGGGAAGGGGGAGGGTGGAACAGTCGATGGGTCAGTCAGTCAGTCAACAGTGGCCTTTGGTGGAGGACTTGTGGGATAAATTTGAGATCTCAAAAAGTGTACACAGCGGCCTCTGGTGGATTCATGAAAACAAAAACTGCAAAAAAAGCCTCCTTGGGTGTATTTTCGCGATCTCCAGAAATGTTTATAGTGGAACGTTTTCAAAATGAGCTTTTACTTTGCTTTTACTGCTGCACATTTTAAATGTCTCTAAAGTGCCTTGAGTTGCTACTTTTAAAGGCGCTTTATAAAAATAAAGGTTATTATTATTATTATTATTATTATTATTATTAAGTAACTGTAATTCATTTACATGAATATTAAATCTAATCACTTAAGTTTTTTTTAGCAGAAAAGTAATTTAATTGCACTATTTAGTTTGTGTTTCCCAGTACTGGTTTGCAGCTGGAAGGGCATCCACTGCGTAAAACATATGCTGGATAAGTTGGAGGTTTATTCCGCTGTGGTGACCCCTGATTAATAAAGGGAGTAACCCGAAAATAAATTAAATGAATGATTGATTAGTTTGTAAGTATTTGCACCGAACACTGTGTATCATATATCATTTTCTCAAAAAGAAGGGTGACATTAAAGGGGTTAAAAAAACAGCAAGTATCACTTTTAAAATATGCTCTAAATTTTAAAACGTATAAAAAATGTACAGTGAATAAAGGACTTTGTAATTTGAGTTCACATGATTCTCTATAGTAACTTTTTGGTTTACGGTAAAACAATTTACAAATAATTGCAAAGAAACAGCAGAGTTTTGAAGTATATAACCGCATCTAAATAAAAAAAACAGTATAGCTCGAGAGGCATTATATGAGTTCTGCTCTACAAAGTGAGAACGCAAACACAGAGCATTTCAGCATTGCATGATAAGCTTATTGGTTCTGGCGATTTGAATAAAATATGTGTGGTCTCGCATGATACACATGCAAAACATCAGCTCCTCCTGAACGGTTTGTTTGAGTTATCGGACACTAATGGTTGTTATAGAGTTTAAAGTAGAAGTAAATGTGTAATATGTGTGTTTTTCCTCAGGCAGGGGACAAGCACTATCATCCCAGCTGTGCTCGCTGCAGCAGGTGTAACCAGATGTTCACTGAAGGAGAGGAGATGTACCTGCAAGGTGAGCCTTTACCACATATATTACGCAGAAATTAGGGGATTCTCCAAGACAAGCATTTGTTAATTCAGGTGAATGGGGCTGTCTGGTATAATAAAGGATGTTTAGGATTTCAATATGAGAATTAGTATTTTATACACTTAGAAAAAAAAGCAATGTTGGTTACAAACAAGGTATAAATCCTTGTCACTGAGGCACTACCTTTTTATGGAACAGAATAGTACCTTAAGACAGAGAAACAAATTTGTACTATTGCAGTTTGTACCTTTAAGGACCTGATTTGTACCATCGGAAACCAAAATGTAACTTTGCTATTTAAAACCTGCAGATACAATATTGTACCTTCATCAAAGGTACAAATCTGATCCATGAAGGTACCACCACAGTGACAAGACACTTTACCTTAACAGTGTCAAATATGTTCCTTCATGAACTATTTAAAGGCATTTTGCTTTATCCAAAATGTGTCAGTAAATATAAAACATCAAATACATTTATTAAACAGTTTTTAAGAGGTTATTTTTGTGTAAATGCACCTTTTCCATTTACCAAAGAATAAAAATTACTTTAACATCAATCAAAAGATGTTTTCTGCTAATCATTTCACACTTTTCACAAAGATGTTACAGAAACACATTCTCTCTATAAAACATTATTTTCTATAATTCTCACAAAAAAAAAACTTTTTAATCACTTAAAAGTTTATTTAATTTACTTCATTTTAAAATCAAATAGAATTATGCAAAAGTATTGTGCCGAGATATGCGCAATGCTTGATTAGTTTTACAATAATAAAATGTCTGCATGAACACTTTGCATATGCAGGACTTTGTCAGCTCACGTACTTATAGTTGAAAGCAAATGCCGAAAGCTGTGGATATCAATAATTAAACTCTATTTATCAAAAAATGCTTACCAAATGTTTGCCTTAAATGTTTAAATACCTATAGTTTTGTTTGGGAACACTTTATTTTGATGGTCCATTTGAGTATTAGTAGACTGTCTGCTTAATATCTGTTGATACTGCTCCTTCAGCAGACATTTTATTGACGATAAGAAACTTTGCAAGTACATGTCAACTTACACTAACCCTGACCCTAACCCCAACTTAGCAGTTCCCTAACCCATTAGTTGGCATATAGATGGAATGTAACTTAATTCAAGGAACCAAACAGACCATCAAAATAAAGTGTGGCGTTTAGTTTTACTAGTTGTTTTGTATTATAGAACTTAATAGTGAATGTTTTATTTCTTTAAACAAATGGTTTCAAATGATGATTCATGTTTTATGGAAATTATTTATAAAATCACTTTGCCTTTCCAGTAATATTTATTTTCAAAGATATTGTAGTAAAGAAGGAGTTGTCCAACATGTATGTACCTTTTTATGAGAACAATTGAGTACCTTTATTTCACCATAAAAGTCACAGAACAGTATCATAAGAGGTCTTTTTTGTACCATATACGGTACAACTTTTACAAAGGTACAAAACTGTTCCTTAATGAACATTATTTGTACCACAGTGTACCTTTTTTTCTGAGACTGTATATAACTTGATATGTGTTCAACTAAACATGATATTTAGCCTGATTTTAATTATGGGCCAGTCTTTTTACTTTTTATAAAAAGTTTGCATTTTAAATCATGTTAGAGAGAGAGAGTTAAACTTTGAATGTTTTGTATTGAATGAAAATGTAGTAAGTGTCTTTCACTGATGGTTCACGATTCATTTATTGGTCACACTACATAGAATTAGTCCGCATTATTTCATCATGAATCACCGTAAGAACTAGAGAGAAAATAAACAAACACAAATAAATCCTGAGAACTAACACTGAGCCAACATTAACAATTAAACATTAATCTTTAACAAATAAACCAAATTACCTTATTTTTCCCCTCAAACCAGGAGCTATAACCAGGGCCAGATGGAATCTGCAGACATTTTTTGCTATTTCTGCGGAGAATTTTGGTAAAAATCTGCGGATTTCTGCGGAATTACTTTGGGAGTTTCTAGCGGAGTATTATAACTAAAACCTTAAAGTAATAAATTACTGAAATAAAACGGAATAAATTCAGATTTACACATTTACTCAAGTAAATAAACAGAATTAATAATAGGCTAAAAATCTGCAGAAATCTGCGGTAATCTCCGGAAAATCTGCGGAATTCTGCGCGCGCAGATTCCGTGTGGGCCTTGCTATAACTCACGAAGGAGGAATCCGTGAAGCAACCGTATACCTGTGCCCCTTTTACCGTGTTTCACCTAGCGTTCCATATTTTGTTTTCATTCATTACTACACGCAATTTATACATCCGGTAAGCTCCGCAATTTTGACGTCATAATTAAAGTCCCCAAACAACGTAATTCATTCAACAAATCAACCTATATACAAAATACAACACAACATAAAAAAATAAATAAGTTCAAAATCATACACAAAGTAACACAATATTTCAAGTTTCTTTACTAGTATAATGTTCTCTCACCAGTGCTGACATGTTTAAAGTTTTTCTTTTGAAAAACAAATACATATTTGCAAGCGAATGAGGTTGCTGAAATAGGATATAGCTTCATTCTCTTCAAACTGAAGCTAAAGCTTATGTCGTGCCCAAGAGCGGGTATTTTTTTAAAATCCTTTAACACACAGCAAATTGTTGATTATTCCTTATTTATTTTCATGCATATTCTTCATGATCTTATTGTCCATCCTTAATCCTACCTAATAAACCTAACTACTACCTTAATAACTTAAAACAAGCAGCAAGTTAGGAGTTTATTGAGGCAAAATCATAGTTAATGGCCATAAAAACTGTACCTTACAATAAAATGTAACCATAATCATTAATTGTATCTCAATTAAACATACGAATATGATCAGCACTGTTATTTTAACATTTTAAAAGTGATTTATTATTCTTAAATCACTTCTTGGTCATATTCCAGATAAGAAATGTTTTGTTGTTGTTGTCTGGTTATTTTAGCTGAGCAAATCAGTTTTGAAGAAGACACTTGAGTGGCTCTTGGGATGGAAGAAAAAGCTATTTTTAGATTAGATGACGTGCACTTTCTTGTATTTTATTTGAAAGGAAGAAATATGCACATTTAAAGATTAAGAATAATTTATTATTTAATACATTTTAACATACATTTGCTTAATATCTGATACATTAATATACAAAACAATCAGACTTATTTAATATAGCAATATTTTGTGACGTTATGCCATTTTTAATTAATTGAGTTAATCCCTGCTGTAAAAAAAATGTTCATAAAGGTACATACAAATTGCTGTTGGTTACACTGCCAAATAGATAAATCCATTCCATGTGTAGCTTCTTTCCCCGGTTGACTGGATTGTTTATTTTACCATCTGTTTCATTGTTTACGCAGGATCAACAGTTTGGCATCCAAGCTGTAAACATTCACCTAGAGGCGAAGAGAGACAGCGGGTACGGCCCTTTCCTTGTCATTTTTTTTAAATATACACATTGTTTACATGTGTCCTGTATGTTTCTGTATATGTATGTCCTTCTCTGCTAATATCTCGGTGTTAGCTTTGATGAGGTTGTATTGGGAAAACAACAATAGACTAGTGCTGGATTCAAAATCATTAACTATACCCTAAATAGTACACTATTTAAAGGAGCAGCCATAAAGTGCACTCAAACAATTTCACAATGCACCCAATAACGAGTGTACAACTAATGTACCCTCACCGGCCACTTTATTAGGTACACCTGCTCGTTAATGCAAATTTCTAATCTGCCAATCACATGACAGCAACTCAATGCGTTTAGGCATGTACACATGGTCAAGACAGTCTGCTGCAGTTCAAACTGAGCCTCAGAATGGGAAAGAAAGGTGATTTAAGTGACTTTGAATGTGCCATGGTTGTTGGTGCCAGACTGGCTAGTCTGAGTATTTCAGAAACTGCTGATCTACTGGGATTTTCACGCACCACCATCTCTGGGTTTACAGAGAATGGTCTGAAAAAGAGAAAATATCCAGTGAGCGGCAGTGCTGTGGGTGCAAATGCCTTGTTGATGCCTGAGGTCAGAGGAGAAGGGCCTGACTGGTTTGAGCTGACAGAAAGGCAACAGTTACTCAAATAACCTACTGAGGTCTGCAGAAGAGCGTCTCTGAACTCACAACATGTCCAACCTTGAGGCGCATGGGTTACAGCAGCAGAAGACTATAGCAGGTGCCTCTTCTGTCAGCTAAGGACAGGAAATTGAGGCTGCAATTCACACAGGCTCACAATAGAAGATTGAAAAAAACGTTGCCTGGTCTGACTTAGGGTCAGAATTCAGGGTCAACAACATAAAATCATAGATCCATCCTGCCTTATATCAACGGTTCAGGCTGGTGGTGGTGGTGTAAAGGTGCCGGGGATATTTTCTTTGCTCAATTTGGGCCCATTAGTACCAATTGAGCATAGTGTCAACGCCACAGCCTACCTGAGTATTGTTGCTGACCATGTCCATCGTTTACGACCTTCCAGCAGGATAGCACTCTGAGACTGGTTCTCAATCTAAGACAGGTTTCTTGAACATGACAATGAGTTCAATGTACTCAAATGGCCTCCACAGTCCCCAGATCTCAGTCCAATAGAGCACCTTTGGGATGTGGTGGAACGGAAGATTTGCATCATGGATGTGCAGCCAACAAATCTGCATCAACTATTTGATGCTATCTTGTCAATATGGACCAAAATCTCTGAGGAATATTTCCAGTACCTTTTTGAATCTATGCCACTAAGCGTTAAGGCAGTTCTGAAGGCAAAAGAGGGTCCAACCTGGTACTAGTAAGGTGTACTTAATAAAGTGGCCGGTGAGTGTACACCTAATGAGTAATCCAACACAGTCTCATTGGAAAAATGTGCCCAGGGATGCATTTTTGAGAACCAAGAAGTTTGTGCTTATGGGTACATATGGCTGCATTTTGTGCTACAGATTGGTACTTCCCTCCGTATGGATGGCTAATTTGGCCTGACTGGTTTGCATTGTAGCTCACCACAAACTGTATTAGACTTGGGATCCGGAGTGGAGCAGGCCAGTGTTTAAAGTCCAGTGAAGGATGGTCCTAAGAAAAATGAAACCCAAAAATAAGCCATGTGATGTCATGGCCTTATGGCTTTTCTCTTCTAGTTTGCTGGTGAAAATACTATCTGTTGGGTTTAGAGAAGGGGAATTACCCTAACTTGCCTAATTAACTTAGTTAAGTTTTTAAATTGCACTTTAGGCTGAAAAATACTGCTGTCTTGAAAAATATCTAGTCAAATAATATGTACTGTCATCATGGCAAAGATAAAATAAATTAATAATGAGTTATTAAAACTCATTATTATGTTTAGAAATGTGTTGAAAAAAATCTACTTTCCGTTAAACAGAAATTGGGTAAAAAAATATTTAAATGGGGGCCAAAAATTCAGGAGGGCTAATAATTCTGACTTCAACTGTAGGTGTCTTGTATGGTGTCCAACCAAACCCCTGTGTCTTCCTCCACAGCTATTGCCTGCATCTCTAGCTCTGCTCAGCAAAACAGAAAGGCAGGTACTGTACTCGCTGTTAGCTGCGCCATGGCATCGCATGACCATGTGCTGCCCCTTGGAGGCACTGCAGAGCTCAGACCGCCCGCTATCAGTACTTGCCATAAAACCATCATTAACATCTGGTTTATCCCATCTCATAGATGCTGATGCTACAGAACAGACAGCATACCCTAAAGGAAGCTTTTCTGCTTTGTTTTGTGCTACATTTTTACTGAATAAGCTTCCAATCAAACCTGGCAGATATAATCACACATGGTGCAAAAGGAAACGCATTTACATCATGATCCCAAGAAGCATTTCTCGCCACTGGAAACATTGATGAATCTCATTCATTGTGTAGCAAGCAAAATGAATGATTTCATTTGCTTTATAGGATTGTTACAATGGTTATTTTATCCAGGGGTGTGTGATATGGGCAAAAAATACATCTCAACATAATTTGGGATGAGTGTGTTTTTGTGTTTGGTGTTGGTTTGGACTGTAATTGATAAAACTTGACACTATATAAATACACTAAAGACACTAAAACTGCCACTAAAAAGTTTTAAGTGAGTCTTCACACAGTAATACTAAACGCATCTCATAGCAATCCGTAACATTTTGATTTAGTGATTAAGAGTGAAATTTCTAATCAGTTGTCCAATCTCATTCATATATTTTGATTTGCTCATCTCCCGACACGAAAATGAGAGGTAGGGTTATGGTTAGGTTTTTGGTGAATGCCTCCTTTTACAAATTGTATGTTTTCATGAGCCACTTTTCCAACATAGGCTCATTCTGAAAACGTAATCCTATACATTTCTGGAGATTGGTAATTATGTAGCCAGAGGAATGTATGGCTGCATTTTACTTTTAAAATGAATGATATGGGGTATGACTTGTCCTTTTCACGCTTACTGGCTGAATTCTTACTTTCCTGTGGACTGCTTTACCACTGTGAAGAACGGTTCCAGAAAGAAGGTAGCACAAAAAACAAAAGCCTAAAAACATGTTTGCTCAATCGAGTCAATCTGTGCTTTTTGAAACACTGTCTGTTGGGTTTACGGAAGGAGGAGGGTGGGTCAGTTGATTGGTCAGTCAGTCAGTCAACAGCAGCCTCTGATGGATTTACGTGAGAACAGCAGGCATAAATGGCACTCAGGAGAAAAATTTGAGATCTCAAAAAGCATACACAGGGGCCTTTAGTGGATTTGCGAAAGCAAAAAAATAGCTCCTGGTACGTATTTTGCGCTCTCCAGAATTGTATATAAGGGTACATAATCAGAATGACTCTGGGTTGCACTTTCCTGATAATAGATAAAATAGTTACATTTCTTTGTGAGGTTGAGTTAAAATACCAATAACTTTCCGCAGAATTACTGTAACAAATCTACCGGTGAGTTAAAAAATGTGTTGTTTAGACACAGCAGAATTCTGTCAATTTACTGGTTATGTTACGTTTCATCTGGAAAATTGCTGGATATATATATATATATATATATATATATATATATATATATATATATATATATATATATATATATATATATATATATATATATATATATATATATATATATATATATATATATATATATATATATATATATATATATATACACACAGTACTATTTGCCCCCCACCCCCCTCTTTGATTTTTTTTCTTTTTTAAATATTTTTATTTAATTATGCTTAACAAATTATGCTTAACAAAGAAATTTTCACAGTATATATGATAATATTTTTTTTTCTTCTGGAGAAAGTCTTATTTGTTTATTTTATATATAATGGCTTGTCAGCCACATTAAAATAGGCTTCATTATTAATTAACAATTTTTTTTTGGACTCAAGATTTTTTTTTGTGCTGGTGACTATGTTAGCTTTTACATTATTAAAGTCTGCATTAATAAACAAATTGACAATTAATCCATGAAAGTTATGCAACTAACAAAAAACTTTTTGTTTTGGTAATCTTTAATCAAAATCGAACCATTTGCTTCCTCTCTGGAATAGCAGTCCTTCTCCGATGATGTCAGTTTGATGGCTTGGGCGAACTATGCTTACAATCAAAGATGTCAATAATTTCAATACAATCAAAGATGAGAGGATGAGCACAAAAATAAAGCCCCACCCCCTACTCAATATTCCTTTTCACTTGGAAATACATGATCATGTTGAAATGAAAATCATTTCAGTTACAGTAAATATCACACACCCCTTCTTTCATTTATCTAATTCTTTCCTTCATAATATACCATTATTTACAGGTCTGTGTTTTTCTTAAGAACAATTGGTCTTATGATGCTACAAAGTATGCGTGGGACTCTTTTTTTGGTTTGATCTGTATATTTTGTTTTAAAGGCATAGCTCGTAAAACAAATGAAAGTTTGAATATCTTTAATGCAAAAGAAGATGTTTTAGAGAATGTTGGAATGCAGTAGCCATTGACATCCATAGCAGAAAGAAAAGAATAATGAAAGTCAAAGGCTAATGGTTACTAGCATTCTTTAAAATCTCTTCTTCACATCACTTGAGCAACCTGCAATTTAAGTGCAAAATAATGATTTTCTAGTCTTCTCTGCAGATGTTTTTCTGAATGATTATGTTGAATCTGATTCTGATTCTGAATATTGGTTATTGGTCCTAAACCTGTGCTTGTTCCACAGCCGACACGCTCGTCGTCCGAGAGTATATGTTCCAGACCTGGTTCAAGCATACCTAGCTCACCGGGTCACACCATTTATGTAAGTACAGTACATCAGTTCATGCATCTTACAGTCAATACCATACGTGACCATATTACACCATATTACCAGGAAATACCACAGATATTTTTTAAAATGTAGAGTTAGATATAATGACAAATGCTTAACCCTAATTTATATTATATTATATTTAAAAAATGATTTATAGACACAATCAAATTAAATATTCTCTGGCACGGAAAGAAAACATAATTTTGAAAAAGGTTTATTTTTCTAAATGTTTTTTTTTTTTATGATCTATTAAAAAATTCTAAAGAAAAAACAAAAAAACTTTACATAATAAGTAACAAGACAGCACTAAATCAGCTTGTTTGAATTATTTCTGAAGGATGTTCAGCTTTGAATCACATGAATACATTACAGTTTCAAATATACTCACCAGCCACTTTATTAAGTACACCTATCCAGACAGGCTGGTCTGAGTATTTCAGAAACTGCTGATCTACTGGGATTTCCATGCACAACCATTTCTCTGCTTCGAAAAGAGGCCAGAGGAGAATGACCAGACTGGTTTGAGCTGATAGAAAGGCAACAGTAACTCAAATAACCACTTGTTACAACTGAGGTATGCAGAAGAGCATCTCTGAACGCACAACACGTCCAACCTTGAGGCAGATGGGCTACAGCAGCAGAAACCACACCGGGTGCCCCTCTAGTTAGCTAAGAACAGGAAACTGAGGCTACAATTTGCACAGGCTCACCAAAATTTGGACAATAGAAGATTGATAAAACGTTGCCTGTTCTGAGGATTCTCTTTCTACTGCGACATTAGGATGGCAGGGTCAGAATCTGGGGCTCCAACCCAGTACTAGTATGGTGTACTTAATAAAGTGGCCGGCGAGTGTACATTCATTAATTGTGAATTGTAATAATAATTGTATTAAATACCATGGGAAGCAAAAGAGTTTTCTTCCAAAAATGTTCTCTTCAGATTCTTACCAGTCCATATTTTTGTAACAGCAGCTTATGTGCTTTTAGAAAAGTTATATACTAGCTTAGCTGATTAAGGGCCTACTCACACTATGCTATCCAAACCGTGACGTCAGGCGTTGCCGAACTGCATTGTGGGTCCGTCGGCGCGGCTTCAGAGGCATTGCTCGCTGCATAAGTTGGGACTTGCTCAACTTTTTAAGCTCCAACCGAAGCATCAGCCAATTAGATCGCTGTATGCAAATAAACCAGATCAAACAGTGGCCTATTGCTGATTAATTTCATTGGCTGACGCTGCTATGACAATCGCCTCACCCCCAACTTCAGACACGCCCTCTGTTAAGCATTGATGCTGAAGCCCCGTGTGAATGGGGCGTAAGGGGTTGTTTGATACGGATTTATTAATCATTCTTACTGTTCAATGAACGCAAAATGTCGTAGTTTATTAAAGACGCAAACCCCTCACTGTACGACAGCTGCACCTTCAGCAAACCTCCTAATTCCTGCAGAGCGTCAAAACTGGCTGATCTATTTGGAGAAATATTTGACTGTGTGCCACTGCATATCAAACGATGGGAGGGGGGACAAGTGTGCTTTGGCCCAGTTCAAGGCAACTGTACATAGTATGAGTACACCCTAACTGAGTAACTTTTTGAATGTTAAAAACGATTGAAGTCCCACTAGATAACTCTTTTCTGTCATTGTGAATCCTGACAGCAGTGTTGACACAAATAGTTACCTTATTAAAGCACAACATCACTGTAACACACAAGCTCAAGTGGCTTTTTGGCAGTATTTATTGGTGTACTTATGATCAGATTGATGCATTAGAGGCTATTTCTAAAAATGAGTTTCCACTGCTGTCATGTAGAAACGTCCTTGTGACTCCCTGTCTGTGTTTGTGTCCTTCTAGGCAAAAGTAGACAATGAGATCCTTGATTACAGGGATTTAGCAGCCATTCCCAAGGTCAAAGCCATTTATGACATTGAGCGTCCAGATCTAATCAACTATGAGCCACTTTACACCACATCCCTGGATGAGTCCGAGGAGAGAGAGAGTGTGGCAGAGGTAAAAACCAAAATAAATAAGTCAAGCACAAGCATCATTCCAAACCCTAGTGAACCTTCTATCTAGACAGCATTCCAGGTGCCAGTTATCAAATTGTATGGGAACAACTTAGGCCTGTAGAAGATGCATATTAAAATGATTTTGATTTACTTACATTTCATATTTACCTCGACAATATTATCTCAACACAACATTTTTTTGTTCTGTTGACAGCTTCAGAGCTCCAGGAGAGAGTCTTCACCCATGCCTGATGACAGAGTAAGTCGGTCACGTTCACACATTGATCATTTCGATGTGTTGATTCCACTTTTAGACACGCACTTGCAAACTTCTCTTCCCTTGTTCCCTCGGGAGAATCCCCAAAGCCATTTTGAAGTGTGTTCCACTTCGTCAAGTAAATGAGGGAAGCTAACATAATCTCGACTCCTCGATTTTGACCGATGGAGTAAGTCGGCTTCATGTCTTCACTCCAGTACCTATATGTCCCAGAATGCCAGTGGCACTGCATAGTCTCTGTGGGCCTCGGGATGAGTATCCCCAGGTGGAAATAGAGAATAATGAGAATAATTAGCATAGCTGCTGTTCATAGTGTATCTAAACGAGATGCAGAAACCTGTGTGGGGCACATTCATGCGTCATACTATGTGATGCATTGAGTGTATGCTTTACTAAACAGATCTTTAATCTAGTTTTGAACTGCGAGAGTGTGTCTGAACCTCTGAAATTATCAGGAAGGCTATTACAGAGTTTAGGAGCCATAAATGAGTAACCCGAATATATAGTACAGTACTTTAAATGTCAAGTAGGGTCCAAAAAGTGAGTGCAAATGGCCTGCAGGCCAGACCCCTGATTTAGATGTTCTGCCAGTAGTGGACACTTGTGTATTGTAATCAATGATGAACTTCCAAGGAAATGAGAAAGAGGGAAGGTCTGAGTGTCTGAGCGTGCATGTGCAACAGCCAGACACTATTAACTAGCAGTGTTGAGGTAGATTGTAGGGGTTTTGTGGTTTGGTCATTTATAACAATATTACAGTCATGTTGTTTTCAGTGGTGTCTCAGTAGATTATCAGTATTGTTATAATGTTTTATGTTGTACTGTTTTAATTTTTATTAGTTTTATGCACTTTTTAATCACTATACATTTAAGCTGATATTACACTTCTTATGCTACCATGAAAAATATTTTATTTAATGCTTTGTGGCAAATTCCGACTTATAACCGGTCTTATTATATAGAGTTGAAGTCAGAAGTATTAGCCCTCTTTTGAATTTTTTTTTCTTTTTTAAAAATTTCCCATATAATTTTTAACAGAGCAAGGACATTTTTTCTTCTGGAGCGAGTCCATGAAAAAACACCATTCAAGGTCAAAATTATTAGCCCCTTTAAGCTATATATATTTTTTTTCGATAGTCTACAAAACAAACCATCATTATACAATAACTTGCCTAATATCCCTAACCTGCCTAGTTAACCTAATTAACCTAGTTAAGCCTTTAAATAAATAAAAAAAAATATATATATATATATATATTGTCAAATATTATTCACTGTCATCCTGGCAAAGATAAAATAATCAGTTATTAAAAATGAGTTTTATAAACTATTATGCTTAGAAATGTGTTAAAAATCTGTCTGTTAAACAGAAATTGGGAAAAAAATAAACAGGAGGGCTAATAGTTCTGACTTCAGCTGTATATTATATATTTAGCATGAAAACTATTGTCAGTGAAAAACATTAGGTATATATATATATATATATAATTATATATATATATATATATATATATATATATATATATATATTTTTTTTTTTTTTTTTTTTAATTAGAAATGTTTTCAGACCTATTCTCAAACCCATAAGTAATAAATTCAAAGATACTTATATTTATTTTCATGTTGTTTCAGACCAGGTCACCCACACCATCTGCTGAGGTAAGTTAGATGTGTAGTTTTATTTTGCATTTAAACATATTTCATAATATAATGAAATTATATTTTAATTTTTAATGGGGAAATGAATCCAGAATTGATTAATATCAGAAATAATTTATAACATCTAGTTTTGAATTGTGTATGCTATTTATTTTGTATTTAATAAAATAGTTTTGTTGTTGTTTTGTGTGTTTTGTGCAGGGCTACTATGACATGAGAGAACGAATCCTCCACAGGTCGACGAGTCAAGGCTCCATTGGTTCTCCCATTTACAGCCGCCACAATTACACACCAACCCTGTCCCGCTCACCACAACACTTCCACAGACCCGGTGAGAAATCAACACTGACAGTAATGCTTAATCCAATCAGTGATTCTTTTCCTTTCATGGATTAAACTTAAATTGCATTAAATACTGCATTTATGCATATGAATCAAATTATAAAGTCATCTTTTAATTATTTATTTACTTATTTGGTCACTTTTACAATAAGGTTTCATTAATGTTAGTTACTAGCATGAAGTAATTATGAACAATGCTTCTACAGAATTTATTAATCATCATTCAACATTTACTAATGCATCCGAATTCATGCTTGTTAACATTAGTTGATGCACCGTGAGTTAACATGAAAGTTTGAGGTACCTAATATATGAGCAATATCACACGAGTAGCAGTGCTATATGGCTGTATATCAGCACTGGTGGAAGGCAGTAGACGTAGTTCCTCTTTAGTACTAGTGTGGGCGGAGTAATACACAAGGGTGAAGAGGCTGTACAAGTGCTGATATTGCTTTAATATGGCACTGCTCTCAGCCAATCAGATTTGAGAGCCAGACAGAACTGTCTATATATTAGATATATATTAGCACTTTGGAATGTGGAGTTGTGTATTAGGCCCATGCAGCTGTAATCTGAGCTCTTCTGCTTTCACTGATGTTCGTGTTTGTGATTGGAGGCACTGAGCCATCTAGCGGCAGGAGTTCTCCAGGCTCCAGCACTCCTCCTCTCCTTCTGACTCCTAAACATTTCCACCTGCCAGGTACTGTGGGAGTCTCCCAGAGGCTGCTGTGTGTCAATCCCAGCATGCCGTCTGTCTAAATTTCACAATTCACTCTTTCTGTTTTTGGTTATGTCTCTGTTCTAAGGCCACAGCTCTGCCAGAAATGAAAAATGTGCACGAGGAACACACCAAGCACGTTTTCTGTTCAGAAAATGTATAAATTGTTTGTTATTTTGATAATCGGACATCCTGATGTTGCTGTCAGTTTGAATGTTTTTATGTTTACCAATGCCATTTTGCCGTCTGTTTAAAGTCTGTGTGAATCGCAAGTTGCTGAGACTTATTTCAGTATGTTAATGTAGTTCTCATAGACATTATAATATAAAGCAAGCGCCTCTTTTTCCGCTGCGGTCTGTTGTTTTCATTTTTGCCAGGCAGCTGCCATCTTTATTCGGTCATGACTGAGCTGTAACAGATGCAACTGAATGGAGGAGCTGCTGTTTTCTCAGATATAAAAATACAATAACAATTGTATTTATTAACCATTTATAATTATACAGTGTGAAAAAACTTCAGTTACTTAAAAGTAAAGCTCAAACTTGTTATGTGAATTTTACAACCCAGGCTCATTCTGAAAACGTAGTCCTATGGACATTTCTGGAGGCCGCGAAATACGTCCCGGGAGGTACATATTTTTGTAGTTTTTGTTTCCTCTTTTTTTATAACTCTAATTTTTCTCGCCAGTGCCATTCGCGCCCAATGTTCTCGCGTAAACCCACTGTTGACTGACTGTCTGTCTGATTGACTGGCCAACTGACCCACCCTCCTCCTTCCCTGAACCCACCCAATTTTATCAATTGACCCGCCCGCTTACTTCTCTAAACCCAACAAACAATTTACAAAAGCAGTCCAGAAAAAGAAAAGCCCTCGTCTGATTTTTACCACGTTTTCGGATTTTACCACATTCTTACCCTCTTATTAACTTATTCATTTTATTTTTTGGATTCTGTTTTGTCTTATCTGATTTCTGGAACCAGGCCCGGATTGGCTAATCGGGAGGACCGGGAGAATTCCCGATGAGCCGGTCGGTTTTTTGGCCGCGAGGGCCGGTGTCCCTAGCTCCAGAATCTGTCGCTCTTAGCAGTCACACTTTTTAAAAATAATTTATTTATTTACTTGACCACAGCCTTCTTATTCATTATTTTACCGCAGCTCTGCTCTTTTTATCTATTTTCTCGTAGCCTTTTTATCTATTTTACTCTTGAGCAAGATACAGTCTGCAGGTTAATGATGATATAACCAGATGAGTCACCATCCAACGTACAGATGTTGTGGTAAAGTGGTTAGCACGTTAGGTTATGATGCTGCCAACCCGGGTTCGGTCCTCATCTGATTAACTTTTTTTTTTCTTTTTTTATTGTTAAGACATATAATATTGTAAGGGTTGTTGAACATTTAAAGTTCTAAAACAGCTGTTTTCTCAAAAAAAGACGTGATAGTGTAATTAGAAACTGAATTGGAGATGACCTTATCTTAATATAGTCAGTGGTGAACTGAGGTGGGCCGGTCTAAGGCTTGAAACTCCAGGGCTAAAAAAGAGTCCCACTCCGGCCCTGTCTGGAACCACTCTTTCCCATACTCAAACCCCGTTGTCATCATGGTCAACTCCTCTCTGCGTCTCAAGTCCTCCAACGTACAGTACATGATGAACTAATGGGACAAACTGGTTGTGGTGGAAAAGTCCTACGCACGTGGTCAACTGGTAAGCGCGAAAAGAAACTGCGTCATACTGCCCTGTAGCATTTGTTAAAAAACAATGTACCTACATACCTCCGGCTACATAATTCGCGGTTTCCAGAAATGTCCATGGGACTACGTTTTCAGAATGAGCCTGTTTTGGAATTTTATGGTATAAAAACCTGTGAAATGTAATTTCCAGAAACTAGTTTTACTGTCCGACCATTTAAACAGCTTCAATAAGCAAATATTTCAGGAATTTTATCATAATCTCTTTTAAGAGATATAACAGTGAACCGGATTAAGATGGCGGCGACATTGACGTACCATCCAGCGGCTTATGGCAGGACTGGGCGATGAATCAATTATATCGATTAACTCGAGTGTTTTATCCATTAACCTCTTGCCCTGCAATTTGAAGGGAGCCCCGGGCTCGAGGATCTTATGACCTCAGGGCTCTCTCCCAGGACAGCATGACAAACAAGCTTTATAATCTATCATCAGCTAAATGTCACCTCTTGAAAAACTTGACCTGACGAGTCTCATATAGTGAAAGAATCAGTTCATTAACCTGAGTTTAATAAATGGCATCTAAAATGTGTTTGGGAAAGAAAACATTAGCTAACTAGTGCTATTTCTCTTAACTTAGCTGAAAATGAGGTCTGATATCCCATTTTATTTACTATACTATCCATTCAGAATGGACCTTCGGGTCACTAGGAAGGTGGGGAAATGATCCATTTGTGTCACTTTTTCTTTGCTGATAAGATATACAGCCAGGTACACAACGTTCCTTTGTGACTCAGGCAATACTTCCAGGTTTCTTCCCACCATATAAATACCCTAAGTTCAATATAACAGCCATTTTCATTTTGAAGAATCCCCCCTTCCACCCCTTCTTATCATCCTTTCCTAGGTGGGTGGCACGGTGGCCATGTGGTTAGCACTGTTGCCTCACAGCAAGAAGGTCACTTGTCCTAGTCCTTCCCAAGCCAGCCGACGTTTCTGTGCAGAGTTTACACGTTCTCCCTGTGCTCGCGTGGGTTTCCCCGGGTTCCCTGGTTTCCTTCCACCATCCAAAATCATGCAGCTTAAGTTAATTGACTAATCCAAATCGGCAACATAAACATGCTCCTAGTAAGTAGTTATCTCTTAAGAGCAATCACTATCTGTTCTTTAGCTACCACAGCAGGAGATATCTCGAGATCTACCTGAGCTTAAAATCACCTCTCGCCTTGCAAATGGGAGGGAGCCCCGGGCACGAGGATCTTATGAGCTCAGGGCTCTCTCCCAGGACAGCATGTCAAACAAGCTTTATAATCAATCATCAGCTAAGTGTGAACAGTTGAAATAAAAATGAATAAACCTCTGAATGCATGTTCATTAAAAATAAAAAATCATCTTGAAAATGTCCCCTTTTTAACAATCATAAGGGGTTTACTTTCACTGCAATTATATAAAATGGTGTAATTTAAATTATTATTATTATTATTATTATTATTATTATTATTATTATTATTATTATTGTTGTTGTTGTTGTTATTATTATTATAAAAGTCTTGTATGCAATCATAAATTAACTTTTTAAATGAATGTTCTTTATCATTTTTATATCACCCGCTTCGAATGTTATCTCTGGTTATCAGTTATCAGTGATTATCAGCTGATAGATATGGGCCAGTAAGAACCTTCAATAGGAACTGGTCCCACTCTATATTAAGTGTCCTTAACTACTATGTACTTACATCAAAAAATAAATACAGTGTACTTACTGTGTTTATAATGTATTTGAGAACACTTGTGGTGCTTTGATTTGGGATAGAGGTTGGGTTATGGACAGGTTTGGTGGTGTGGGTAGGTTTAAGGGTGGGTTAAGGTGTCAGGGATGGTCAACAGTGTATTTACAAATGTAATTACAAAAGTTAATTACAAATGTAGTTACATGCATGTATTTAAGCATAAGAACAAAGTAAATACATGTATTTACACAATAAGTACATTGTAACAAACTATTAGATCCTGTGTAAGTACATATTAGTTAAGGCCACTTAATATAAAGTGGGACCGGAGAACCATCAGTAGGAACCTATATCCACATGGTTAACCAGCTATACAAATAGCGAAGACTCCAGATCCAGATCTGTTTTTACATTACTGCGATGGTTGGGTTTAGGGTTGGTGTAGGGGTAGACGTTAATAAAATACAATTAATGGGAATTGTAATAAATAATATAAATAATTCTCGTCCCGGCTGCAGCCATATGTGATCTATAGCTGATTAGCCATGTGGATGGATGATATCAGCCATTTGATCCTAGCCCATATCTTTGATGAATTGGTGATCATAGGCCTGTGACCATCAAAACTCAAACCATCACACAGGTGACGTCATATAAATGTCTTGGTGTCTTTTTTGATAACTCACTAAAATGGCATATACATGTTGATAATCTCTGTAGTAAGCTTCAGCAACGACTGTATTTTTTAAGACGTCTAAGAATTTATGGAGTGGATCAGAAATGTATGATCATGTTCTATAAGGCTGCGTTTGAGAGTTTGATAAGGTACGGTATCACAGCTTGGTTCGGCAACTTGTCTGTACAGCTGAGATCTAAAGTGTCACAAACAAAGAAAGTCCAGATGGATCCAAGTACACACTAAAGATAACTGTAACAAAAGAGTGCGTTGCTAGGGCTAGGAGAAACCAGAGCAGGGATCAGACAGGCCTGAGCATAGACAAATGAACACATAAGCACACGTAACGAACTGACAAGGAAACACAGAAAACTTCGCACATATATAGGCACGAAAATGAGCATCAGCTGGCGAACTAATCAAACCAACTGAGTGCCCTCAAAACACATGACCAAAACAAATACACGTGGGCACCAAAAAACAAAACAAACCCACATGATCAAACAGACACTCCGGAAGAGCGCACAAACCTGCAACCGTGACATAAAGTAGTTCCTTTATTTCACACTGCCTGGAAAATTATAGGTGTATCAGAGCTGATGTTACTACAGGATATGTATGAACTGGATGCATTAAGGTAAGTAGTAAATAGTAAATAGTTTGTGACGTATCACATGTTCTGCACATGGAATATGAGTTGTTACCCTCGGGGAAAAGATTCAGAGTACCTTGCTGTAGATTAAACAGATGTAAAAATTATTTTTATCCTACGAGCATTAAGCTATTAAATAATAGTGGTGGCTTAGATTGAGAGTATCAGTTTGCTTATTTATGTGTACATGGAGTGAGGCTTGTAACTTTTATTGAATTACTTATTTGTGTTTTGTATGTTTATTGTTTTGTCCATGTTTGTGATGACTGCAGCTGAGGGCAAGAGCCCAAGACAAATTTCCCTAACTGGGACAATAAAGTTTTACCTTACCTTACCTTACCTTACCTTAAATTACCTTACCTTATCTATCAGCTAATAACCACTGATAACACCCATTCAATCGAGCAATAACATTTTAATTAGCTGTTTTATGTTCTATAATTATAATTATGATAAGGTTAATGCGGTGTAAAAAATACACTGGATAAGTTGGTGGGTTATTCCACTGTGGTGACCCCTGATGAATAAAGGGACTCAGCCAAAGGAAAATTAATGAAAATCTCGCCCAGCCCTAGCTTATGGGGTGTCTAGCTATCTATTATAATGTCTTTGGTTCTTCAGACTGAAACTGAATATTGAGTAGGGGGCGGGGTTTTATTATTGAGCATCATTTTCTCATAGCAAACTAACGGTTAGAGGGGCGCGGTTAAGAATATTGTGTTTGAGACTATAAACCAATCCAAACACAGAAGAAAAAGGTCAAACTTTAATTGAAGACTAACTTAGTTGTTCACCTAAAAATAAACAATGTGCGCTAGCAAAATAAACATTGCAAAATTTTATTTCACACAGACTTTAAAACCAAATATCTCTGATATTAAGAACTAAAATTTAATTCATCACATTTTTTTCTTTTTTTTCAGATCAAGGAATGAACATCTACAGGAAGCCCCCGATCTACAAACAGCATGGTATAGTCATTCAGAATCTTTGAGGTTTTGAAGCTTAGCGTTTTACATTAAATGTTTAGAGGTTAGATTTTATGCAAGCATATGAGTAGCAAAATTCATTTCGAAATGTAATATGCAAATGCCAATGCAATATGTTAAATGGCAGTGTTCTGTATTTCTGTATTTGATTTTCCAAGACCATATGTGCTATGGTTGGTGCAAAATTAAACACACGCCTGTTGGTTTATAGACTAAAGCAGTGTTTCACAGCTGCTTCATCTCACTAATATACTCCGTCACAAACACCTCATATTATCAACTCGCTATATTATTTCAGACAGGGTTTAAAAAAATAACAGTGACAAAATGAACACAAATGCAGAACATGCAGATTTAATAGAAACTATCACTAAACTATCACTATTAGCAGTTGTGAATAATAGTGAAGTGTAAATAATTAAATATACAAGTAATATAATATCAATATATAAATGTGTATACAAAAAAATACTTACAATTTATGCAAACACTGCATGTTTTCTTTAAGATCAAGACATTGTGTAGTATGTCACGCCATGACTGTGTATGTTTGTATGTCATTTTACCATAATCCTGTGTTTTGTTTGTTTGTTTGTTTGTTTTTATTTTGGAAACTGTGAGTCTCCACCTCATTAATATCTGCTTGTGTGCCATTTAACACCACCTCAATGTTAACATGTAAGTATTGTTTGAAGTCTTCTCAACTGAGCTCATTTTTTATAGATATTAATAATCCGATCAGCTACTCAACCATCATTAAAGCGTCTTCTCCTGATCAGCGCTCATTCATACTCATCAAAAAAAAACTTGCACAAAAGTTGCAAGATTTTTAAGTTAAATGTGCATAGTATGACTAACTTATTTCAAACCAGTAACGTCATGTCATAAACTAGTGACACAAGTTGTATTATTTGTCAACAAGCAATGACACTAAGTTTAAAAAGGTCTGTAATTAAATTCATTAAATTTTATGGGGTCATACCATTCAGTTTTGATTATTTCTCTTGAAGTTTACTTATAAAATTGCTATTTAATATGTATCAAAACATTGGCAAAAATTAAGCTCTTTCTGACGCTTACAGGGAAAACTTATTTATGTAATTTTATTATTAATGAATGAATGAATGAATTAATTTATTTATTTATTTATTTATTTATTTATTTATTCATTTATATTTATCTCTCCCTGCTCACAACTACAGGTTTTCTGTTAAGTTCTAGAGATCTACATTTTTGTTCTGGCTTCAAAAATGATGTGCACTGGTTTAGTTTGTTATGTCTATGTTGTTTATGTCGATCTGTATCTAGTTAAAAATAAACTATAGCGACGTATTTCTAATGTTGAGACTGTCTGGAGTCATGAAGATAAACTTGTATATATTTAAACTAGGCGGTTGCTCCGAAGTCTTGACCGTTAGTAACTATGACTGTTTGGCGCCATCCTGTGACGAATAGTAGTATAGGATAGTGCGTTTTTCTTTTTGCAGGCTTAATATTTAAGATCTATGAGCTGACATGAAGGTATAGGGTATATGCCAAGCTAGTGTTTTTCCCATACTGATAAACTTTCGGTGTTTTGTGAAAAAAGTTTTGTGAACTTTCTTCCATTTTATACGCTTCCTTTTACAGCATCGATGTTGTAATGTCACTAAAATACATTCAGTTAAATAAACTTTGGCATTCATTTAGCTGCTCAAGCGTAAAATGAGACAAAAAGCCATTTACTCGCACACACCCATCAGAATTGGCAGGCTAGCGCAGAAGCTCCATTGAATGTACTGGGGTAAAATAAATGCTCATATTAAGACATGGCAGAGGGAAATGTAATTTAATGCAGAGCTTCTTGTACAATCTGAGGCCCACTTTATATCGGATATCACTCAGCTAGTGGAGATGGCTGATTTTTAAACAAAACAGACCTTAAACACGCTGGTTTTTGCATTGGCATAGTTTGCCGGAAGCGCTTAACTAAAAGTCCTATTAGCATGCTTTGGCATATACACTATTTTCCCCTTCTTTCTCTATGATTTAATGTTAATTAAATTGGTTTCCCTCAAACAAGAAATGCAATTCTTCATGGTATGACCCCTTTAATTTTGTCATAGTCCATTTGTAGCTGGATTCAGTGAGTCAGATCCAGTAATAAAACTCATTCACTGTGTTTTGAAGCCGATGATGGTTTGTCTGATTACTGCATGGCCTATGTTGAGTGTTTTTTTTTTTATTATAGCTATGCATGCTCAGCATGCAAGCAGGCTACCGATAGTCTCCAATACCAAACATTTTCTACTTTGTGATTTTCTACTATGTGGATTATGACATGGTTAGATGTTGGTCTAGCCACACTGATGTCCAGCTCCACCAATGTATTGATCTAGATTCAGCTGCCTTTGCAGCCCAGAGCAAGTCTGCTGATGACATCATCAAATCGGCCAAATTCCCCTCAGCGTTCGCTCCTGGTCCAGACTACCCTACAAAGATAGAGACAGACTGCTGGTCCTTCCCCAACTTTCACGCTGCCCTAGGTACTGTGGTCACCCATAATGCATCTGTTTTGATGCCTCTGCGTTAAAGGGACAGATCAACCACAAATGAAAATTCTGTCATCATTTGAAGAGTTTAGATGCAAAAACCTCTAAATCTTATTAGATATTTTCTTCTAAAATTAGCATTTTTCTCAGACTACTGTGGTTGTGCTCAATTATTTTACTTTAATAGAGACAAATAAGGTAATTTCATTGTCTTTAAAGTGAAATAACTGAACAAAATGCTCAATTTAGGAGAGTTTCTTTCCTCTGATCAACACAAAAGAAGATATTTTGAAGTACATATGTAGTCAAACTGTTATTTGTTCTTAATATTTTGCTCTACTATTGAAGTCAGTGTGAACCATCAACATTTACACCAAAATTCTTTGAAATATCTTCTTTTGTGTTCATCAGAAAAAGAAAAAAAAATCAGAGGTTTGAAATGGTGAGTATTTTCATTTTGGGTTGAACTATTCCTTTAAATGAACAGTTTACAAAAATATATATAATTTATATAATATAACTTACTTTAATGTTTTATTAACAATACTTGACTTTTTAAACGTGTTTTGAGATAGTATGGGTCTGAAATGACAGTTTTCATTTTTAGGTGAACTTTAACCCTTTCCTAAGGATATAAGTCTGATTTATTAACACACTTTTGTAAATGCAGTAAAATGCTATTAATATGATATTGGTGTAGAAATAGCTTTCATTCAAAAAAGAAGAAAAAAATGGCTAGTATGTTTCTTGAAACATCAAGACACAATTTACTTATGAGCAATCAGAGAACATTCTGAAATAAACTTTCTTTAAAACTTTCTATAAATGCTTAGACTTGTCACAGCATGTACAGTTGAAACCAGAAGTTTACATACACTCTAAAAAAAGGAATATAACCATTTTTTTTTTTTAAAATCATGGTAAATCATACTAAACGTTTACTATTTTAGGTCTGTTAGGATTACCTAAATGATTTAACATTCGTTAAATGCCAGAATAATGAGAACATTTCTTTTAAGAATTTTTAACATAATTTCTAGACAGTCAAAAGTTTACATACATTTCCTTGGTTTTTTTTTTAGCTTTGCTTTTAAACTGTATAACTTTGGTCAAATGTTTTTTGTATCCTTCCACAAGCTTCTCACAATAGTCTGAAGGAATTTTGTCCCATTCATCCGGACAGAATTGGTGTAAATGAGTCAGATATGTTGGCTGTCTTGCTCCCACAAGCTTTTTCAACTCTGCCCACAAATTTTCTATAGGATTGAAATCAGGGCTTTGTGATGGCCACTCCAAAACATCCACTCTGTTGACCTTAAAGCACATTTTAACTAATTTGGCAGTGTGCTTAGGGTCATGGTCTGCTTGGAAGACCCATTTGTGGCCAAGTTGTAATTTCCTGGCTGATGTCTTAAGATGTTGCTTCAGTATTTCTACATAACGTTCTTTCTTCATGATGCCATCTATGCTGTGAAGTGGACCAGTCCCTCCTGCAGCAAAACAGCCCCACAACATGATGCTGCCGCCCCCATACTTCAGTTGGGATGGTGTTCTTAGGCTTGTAAGCTTTCCCCTTTGTCCTCTAAATGACCAAATACTGGTCATTATTGCCAAACAGTTCAATCTTAGTTCCATCAGACCACAGGACATGACTCCGATAATTAGTCTTTTTCCCATTGTAATTGTAATCTGGCTTTTTTATTGATTCTGGCTTGTTGATTTTCCCATGTTGTCAGTCAGTGAAGCAGTGTTTGAGGTTTTCCTTACATACTACTCTACAATTGTGCCTCCAATTAACTCACATGTTGTCAATTAGCCAATCAGAAACTTCCAAAACCTTGACACCATTATCTAAACTTTTTCAGAGGCATAAAAATCTTCTTTTATGTAAACTTGACTTTCAAGAAAAGTTACTTTAACAATTCCCCCCCCCCAAAAAAATCTCTCTCATTATTCTGCTATTAAGCATAACAGAAACAAATTTGATAATCCTAACTTACCTAAAAGAGAAAAAGTTTAGTCACATTAACATCTGACTTTTAAAAAAATGGTTAAGTGCCTTTTTACAGTGTATGTAAACTTCTGGTTTCAACTGTATATACTCAAACTTTCCTATGATTTAAAGTGCTTGATTATCTTCACTACAAGTTGCTTTGCATAAAAGCGACTGCTAAATGACTAAATGGAGGGGAAAAAAAACGTAATAGTAACGTTTATGCAATGTTTTAAGTACATATATACTGTATACTTGTTATGGGCAAAAACTGAGATTGACTTCAAACATTTGTGTCGTCTTTGTCCATGTCTCTCTGTGTAATCAACATAATACTCAAGCTTCATGTCATTTCAGTACTTCAATAGCTGTCAGTATGTAGAAAAAACCTAATGTATTTTTCATTCGCCTTAGCTGTCCCTTCCATTGTTCACTTACAGGGGCTTGTGTGTGTGAAAGTGTTCTATTTTGTTGTTTAGGAACAGATGGGAGAAGAAGGTCAAAAGAAGAGGATGAGGAGGAGATCCAGAAACGCAGGCAGATTCAGGAGGAACATCTTAATAAGGTTAGAAACAGCTCAGCAATGCAAAATGACGTACAGTTGTATTCCTATATAAATGCTTCGTGTTTCTGCTTCCAGATTCAGTCTGGTTTGGGGAAAATGATCCTGAAAGAGGAGATGGAGAAGGAGAAGATTCGAGAGCGTCATGCAAGGAGTCTGTCAGCACAACGCTACGAACACGGAAGCAGTAATACTCCTCAGTACAATACATCACACACCAGATGCTCATCTGTTGATACTCAGTTAAAGTCAGAATTATTGAATTATTAGCCCCCTGTATATCCCCCCCAATTTCTGTTTAACAGAGAAGATTTTTTTCAACATATTTCTAAACATAATAGTTTTAATAACTCATTTCTAATAACCGTCAAGGCTGATTTATACTTGATGCATTGGCCGTTGAGATATTTTTTACAATGACAGGGGGGTTGTAAAAAAGAAACCCACTGTAAATTCAGATGGAGAAACATAGAAGAAAGTTTCCATAACTACATCATATCATTAATGTCGTTTAATGTCAATTATTTTCATAAATAATTTTACTAATTATTAAATTTTTTATGACCATTCCTAATTTTTAAAAACAAACTTTGATGCATCACTTGTTTTTGTTCATATCTCAGACAGTTAATTATATTTAGTTCATTTAGTTCAATAAAATATTAAAATAGAGGTCTGCGCTGGAGCATAAGTGTGCTCTTGACGCAGAAGTATAAATCAGCCTTTATGCTGCTTATTCTCTTGCAAGTGTTCAGTTATTAAAAAAATAAGAAAAAACTGGAAAACAAACAAATTCTCTGGATTTTACTACAGGATTTTATCGATTTTTTTTTATTTATGGGTTTGAGTAAAATGTCAATGTTACCTTTTTTTCCTCTAAAAGTCTTTAAAAATTCTTTCAAATTTAATATAAAAGTACTGTCATTTTTGTTGTATTTTTATTTTATTGTTAGTGGAAAATGACAAATGATCAGAATAGCAAATGTCCGCATTAGTTGTGATTGAAAACCAGGATTATATTAATATTGATTTCCTAACACATTTTTGAAAACACAGAAATTCGGTTCTATGTTGTTTTTTTTCACCAAACAATACTCAAAATGATTTTTTTAATAATTATTATTTGGAAGAAATGTCATCAATAGTTTACAGAACAAAAATAAAATTTTGTTTTACTTAAAATACATAAACAAGTCATTAATCCAGAGAAACTAGCATATATATATATATATATATATATATATATATATAATTTATAATAAAATATATAATTTCCCCAATTTATGTTAAACAGAATGAATATTTTATATTTTTAACACATTTCTAAACATAATAGTTTCTAATTACAGATTTATTTTATCTTTGTCATGATGACAGTAAATAATATTTGACTTGATATTTTTCAAGACACTTCTATACAGCTTAATGTGACATTTGAAAGCTTAACTAAGTTAAATAGGTTAACTAGGCAGGTTAGGGTAATTAGGCCAGTATAATGATGGTTTGTCCTGTAGACTATTGAACAATTATAGCTTAAAGGGGCTAATAATTTTGACCATAAAATGGTGTTTAAGAAATTAAAAACTGATTTTATTCTAGCTGAAATTATACAAATAAGACTTTCTCCGGAAAAAAAAAAAAACTATTATCAGACATACTGTGAAAATTTTCTAGCTCTTCTTAAAAAGATTATGGTAATAATGATATTTGTACATATAATACTAATATAGTATTAATATATACATTCATTCATTCTATTTCTTTTCGACTAAGTACCTTTATTAATACATACAATATTAAAAAAAAATGTATTTGTAAAATTTTTTTTCATAGTGGATGTTTATTAAAAATGCTCTTGTTTTGCAGATCAAAGTTCACCATCTAAAACCGGTTCATTGCCAGGATATGGGCGAAATGGACTGCACCGTGTAAGATTTATTATATAATATAATTCATTCACTCATTCATCATTTGGCTTAGTTCCTTCATTCATCAGGGGTCGCCACAGTGGAATGAACCGCCAACTTATCGGGCAAATGTTTTACACAGCTGATGCCCTTTTAGCTGCAATCCAGTACTGGGAAACACCCATACACACTCATAAACACGAATACACAATGGCCAATTTAGTTTATTCAGTTCACCTGCAGCATGTCTTTGGACTATGGGGGACACCGGAACACCCGGAGGAAACCCACGCTAACACAGGGAGAACATGCAAACTCCACATGCAAGGTTGTCAAAGTTATAGTTTAAAAAATGAGAAAATGCTCAAACATTTTTGTGCTGCCTAATGTTTTCAAATTGTAATTCAGTGAAATGTTCTGTTTCTTTTATAATTGTTTGTTATCTTTGCTGCAGCCTCAGTCCACTGATTTCACACAGTATAACAGTTATGGGGACGTGTGTGGTGGCATAAGAGGTAAGTCTTTTCATTTACTTCAACTTAAATTACACAGATGAGAGCAGTAATATTCACATGTAGGCATATGCTCTGTGAAATAAATTCCTATTGTCTTATAAAGCATCGTTTAGTACATAAACTAGAAATGGCATGACTCAAACTCATGACTGAAAATTTTCTTATTATTTTTCCCTAACAGAGTTTCAGGTATGTAGACTTGATTATCTCTTTTAATCACTTATGTGTTTCCATATATAATTATTGCATCCTTAGTATAAATATAATGTGTAATATTCAACAGTTAAATCATTAAAATAGCTTCTCTACCTTCCTTTTATTATTATTATCATTATTATTATAATTATTAGCCTATGCATGACGGCCATCGAACACCCACTAGAATGGACAGAGGAGTGTCTATGCCGAATATGCTGGAACCAAAGGCAAGTGTAACTTATTAAATGATATTAAACTATATTTATTATGAGTTGAATTAGCGTCTAGGTAACTAACTTATTGTAAGTTGACCACAGATTATATTTCGCACATTAGAAAGAGCAGATGCAGCCTTTTTGTACTGATTTATACGTGTTTTTGAAGGTTTATCCGTATGAAATGCTAATTATAACCAGCCGTAGTCGCTCCAAACTGCCCAGAGATGTGGACAGAACCCGACTAGAGGTAATTTTTCACAATTTACACTGTAAAAACAGGCTGGGTTCCACACAATTACTTTATGTTGGCCCAACACAAATCCATTAAGTTGACTTAATCGTGTTTACAAATTTAAATGGACTGAACATAAAACAGTTAAGATAGGAATTTTGTTGTTTCAACTCATTTTAATTAAGATGTTTGCTATTTGAATTCATGTGTTGTCAAATATGTTTGTATTGAGTGCAGAGATTTGACCAGTTACTTCCCAGTTTAGTTTATGATTTTAATGTGTATGCTTATGTTAAGACAAACATGATCCTGACATTTTTTATGCAATTCAAATAAATAAATCTTAAACACAAAGCCAAATATTATGATTTATTTAACTCACATTTCAACCTTTTCAATTTCAAAATATTTTAAAATCTACACTCACCGGCCACTTTATTAGGTACACCTTAGTAGTACCTTGTTGGACCCCCTTTTGCACTCTGAACTGCCGTAATTCTTCGTGACATAGATTCAACAAGGTACTGGAAATATTCCTGAGAGATTTTTGTCCATATTGACATGATAGCATCCCGCAGTTGCTGCAGATTTGTCGGCTGCACATCCACCACATCCCAAAGGTGCTCTATTGGATTGAGATGTGGGGACTGTGGAGGCCATTTGAGTACAGTTAACTCATTGTCATGTTCAAGAAACCAGTCTGAAATGATTCGCGCTTTATTATATGGCATGTTATCCTGCTAAAAGTAACCATCAGACGATGGGTACAATGTGGTCATAATGGGATGGACATGGTCAGCAACTATATTCAGGTAGGCTGTGGCATTGACAAGATGCTCAATTGGTAATAATGGGCCAAAGAGTGCCAAGAAAATATCTCCCTCACCATTAAACCACCACTACCAGCCTGAACCGATAATACAAGGCAAGTAACAGTAGAAATTGAGACTCATCAGACCAGGGCAACATTTTTCCAATCTTCTTGTCACACCTGCTGCAGTGCCCTCTAGTGGTCATCAAGGGCACCAGTTTTTGTTTTGGTGTTTGTTTTTTTCATCCTAGTCATGTGATCTCTCCTTGTTTCCAGCTGTTCCTCATTGTCTAATTAGTTTGTCTTTGGATTTTCAATGTTCTGTTTAGTTCTGTCCTGCTTAATTTGTGATCTGTTTCATCGTGTTTGGTTTGTTTGTTCAGTTTGTTTAGGATCATTACTATGTTTTTGGATTCCTGTTTAGTTTTTGTTTGATTCACTCTTGTGCTTAAGTTTTGCACTGACAATAAATGTGTTTTGCTGTACTTGGATCTTTCCCTTGTTTTTGTGATACCAGTCATCACACTTCTATTGTACAATTCTGGTGAGCCTGTGCAAATTTTAGCCTTATTTTCCTGTTCTTAGTGGGCAGGAGTGGCACCCGGTGTGGTCTTCTGCTGCTGTAGCCCCTCAGCCTCATGGTTGGATGTGTTGTGCGTTCATAAATGTTCATAAATGCTCTTCTGCAGACTTTGATTGTAACGAGTGGTTATATGAGTTACTGTTGCCTGTCTATCAGCTTGAACCATTCCTCTCTGACCTCTGGCATCAACAAGGCATTTGGGCAAACAGAACTGCCGCTCACTGGATGTTTTCTCTTTTTCAGACCATTCTCTGTAAACCCTAGAGATGGTTGTGCGTGAAAATCCCAGTAGATCAGCAGTTTCTCAAATACTTAGACCAGCCTGTCTTGCACGAACAACTATGCTGCATTCAAAGACACTTAAATCCCCTTTCTTCCCCATTCTGATGCTCGGTTTGAACTGCAGCAGATCGTCTTGACCATGTCTACATGCCTAAATGCATTAAGTTGCTGCCTTGTGATTGGCTGATTAGAAATTTGCGTTAACGAGCACATAGACAGATGTACCCTAATAAAGTGGCCGGTGAGTATATATTGCATTATAAAACACTCCCATCCTCATCACAAACTCTGTAAATGTATAGGTTTTCCCTTACCAGTGTGCAGTATTGCATTAATGTTTGATCAGAGGGCAATGCTAAAGGGTTGATTTTTTAATGCTAAAAGTATTCTGTAACGCTGAAAGTATTCTGCATGAGTGTAAAAGGTTTTTATTAAAACAGTAATCAAAATGTTCAGCAGCAGATTCTTATTGTGTGTGTGTTTTGTAGTGTGCATGTTTCTGCTAGTGTGTGCCAGTATTTTTGTCGTCTGAAAAGCTTTTATATATCTGGAGGTCAAAATTTCCCGCCAAAATTAAAAGAAATCTGCTGTTAAAATAGTGCCCAGGTCACGGGAGGGCTAATATAGGTTTTTTTCTTCTTTTAAATATTTGTTCCTCCTGTTTTTCTAGCGCCACCTGGCTCCAGAAGTGTTCTTCGAAATCTTTGGGATGGAAATTCAGGAATTCAACAGGTTGCCTCTGTGGAAACGCAATGAACTGAAGAAGAAAGCCAAACTCTTCTGAGATGGAAATCTGCCCACATCTGCACACGCTCACCTGATGTATCACACAGCTGTTTACTCCTCCTCCGATGTTTCTCGCCTATAACTATAGCCAGAAGAAAGTCCCATGCTGCAATATTATCATACGATGTCAGTCTGAAATGAACGGAGGATCCAACCTACTCATCTATAAATCTCCAAAAATGTGTAACACTCGATTTATTATTTGACTGTCTGTTCCTTTAACCCTTTAACAAGCATCACAACCTCCTGGTTGACCTTTTGTCTATAGGTTAATATTATATATTAAAATAAAAAATGCGTAGAGAGGTTTAAGAGTGCACTTTAAAGGAGACCTATCATGCCCCTTTTATGAAATGCTAAATGTCTGATGTCCCTAGATAATAAAAAAACTAAAATACCCCATGGATAATGTTTCATAACTCTTTGGAACTGCCTCTTTTAGGATTTGATCCTAATTGTGCTATTTTGGTGAACTGACCCTTCACTAAGCCCCGCCCCCTTAGTTACTGTTGTTACGCCTGTCAAGCTTTCATGCCTGGCACGTCTATTACAATATGTATAGGTGTCAGACATTCCCAGGGATATAATCAGGGCTTGACATTAACACCCGCCAAATGCGCGTAGATTTTCAGGTGGGTTAGACAGACAGACAGACAGACACCCCCACTAGCCACTTTGGCTAGTTAAAAAGGATTTCAGATTTTATCGGGAGAGTAGCTGTGCTTTATGTGCTTAAGGATGGCTGATAAAAGGCATTTCATTTGTTCTTGGGTCTTTCCGAGGTGCACCCAACTCTGTGAGTTCATCAACTCCATCAGAAGCTATGCCTGGGTGACAGACGCTTTCCGACTGAGCTGGTGTTCTGTCGATTTGTCCGACCTTGTCAGATTGTCCTATCACCCATTCAAAAAGTAGGTAGCACAATTTGATGACGCAATATGCAACCCATCAGATTTTGCTACCAGTGTAAATTTCAATGTGGAGTAGTGTGATATGAAGCTGTAACATCGCCCTAACCTACCTAATCCCTGACCCCAGCCTCAGAACCATTCAAATACAGTGTTGGTAGCGTGATCTAATGGGTAGGTTAAAATGTCAGGACACTGGTCCCAATTTGATGAGCTGTTGTTCCATGTCGGCAGCATGATTTCCCTTCAGGACACCAACAATAGGCGCTACGTCATAATCATGCCCCTACTAGAGCAAGCTCTTGACGTGGCACGAATGTCCGCTAATATAATCACGTCTTTGCAATGACTTAACATGTAAATTGCTCACACTATAAAGTCAGACGGCTGCTTCTCACTCAGGGCTATCTATGCTAATGAGAGAGAGATCATCTCTAATGGGCGGGGCTTTCCCCCTTTGATGACACGTGCAAAGGGAGAATGTCAAAGTGTTTCTGCAGACTGTTTTTATCAAGTGTGATTCTAAAAAATATATTAGTAATTTGTTTTAGCATTAGAAGCTAATTATATTCACAGACTTTTGCCATACAACTGTGTTTAAACCCTTATAAAAGTGATTTTTGCATAATAGGTCCCCTTTAAAGGGTTACTTCTCCCAAAAATGAACGTCTTTCTTCTTTGTTCCTCTTGTATGTCTTTGTAAATCATGTTAGTGCAGGTCTGATGATCGAAACCTTTGTAAATTTGCAGCCATAATCCATTTAATTCCTTTTTCCAGTAAAGACTCCTCTGTTTGCGTCACTTTTCGGTTCAGAAAGGGATTGCGGATGCTACACTGTGCGGATTTCTATGAGTTTTGAATGCATTCAAAAAGACTTAATCCATACTGGCACATATCCATGTATTCACTCTTTACTATACTGTACCAGCCTCCAAAACATCTGTAAAACTACAGGTCAGGTGTGTCATTTCTGTGTCAATATAGCAGACAACAACAAAACATCTTCATGATCATTATAGATCTGGTTATGCTTCACAAATCGGTAACATTTCATTTTAATACTACTAGTGGTGCAAAAATGACACACTTGACTGTGCTTTCTGATACTATTTTACCTGTTGATTCAATGCTGATGTCCCTATTGTATACTTAAAGAATAGAATACAAAGTTAAGGTAAAATACAAATAAACTGCATTTGACTTGTTTTTTTATTTTATTTAAAAAGCTGATACTCACTGCCAATTTATTGTATTTCAATTGTATTTCTGAGAAAATGTGTGATCTCTCAGTAAAACCAAAGGCATTACAAGAGAACGGGCTCTCATAGTCTGCAGCTGTTTTTATTTCATTCACATTAATCATATCGGACATATTATTGTGTGGCGTTTCAGTAAACTGGGACTGAATACTGAATTATTAGTCAGACCAAAATGAAAACGTGAGTTCAGATCACAACATTCCAATTATCAATTACAGTGTCAGGTTTGAATAAAAGATGGGGAACTATATAATGTCTACTTTTTGTGCTTTATCGTTTGCACACACAAGCATATTGAAGGGATGTCCAAATAAATATTGAAATCACAAGTGATTGTGCATACATAGAAAACACTTGAAATTCTAGTAAAGTGTCTACTTTAATGTTTCAAATATCTTGAAGTGAAAATATGAGAGCAAAACAAGGCCAATAAATTAAACAGCATAATTCAGATTTATAGCACTTACTATGTTTTATGTTTATTTATATAATTATTAAAAGTGTATTGCTGGGTAAAGGATAAACCTAGTGGTTTGAAGGGTATTTGACAGGTATAAAAATTTAACATGGCAACATATTATTACATTGTAGTTTGCAAGCTGCATTGATCTGTGCACTGAATAATGTGAATTATTATTATTATTTGTGAATTATTATTATTATTTGGTATAGTCTAAATTTAATGCATGAAAATAAAGGGAAATATTTGGTCCACTTCATACTATTGATCAGAGATCTACGTATATGCCCAAACTAGGGCCCATGGGCTAAAATTGGCCACCCTCCCATCTGACAAGAGAAGGAGAATGATGGGCATTTTGAGAAATGAAATGTTTCAATTCAATTAATATGATATATTTTTAAATGCACTTATACTCGCCTGATAGCAGAGATGTATAGTAACGAAGTAGAACTACTTCACTACTGTACTTAAGTACTAAAAGGCAGTATCTGTACTTTACTGGAGTGTTATTTTTTTCTCCTACTTCCACTTTTACTTAAGTACATATTTTCCATGAATTTAATACTTTTACTCCGATAGATGTTTTATGTGCTGCATCGTTACTCGTTACTAGGGGTGTCAAAATGATCGATATCAGTTCAGTAATAGGTCATAACCGGTGATTACGTGATGACGTCATTTATCTCCTATGCGCGATGTCGCAATACTATGGCGGAGGACGGTGGCGCGAGTGAAGGCGGCACACGAGCCGCTAATTTACTATTAGGGAGAAATGTTGTAAAACTTCACCTCTGCCTCTCTCTTTCTCACTTTGGACATTTGACCCGCTGGCCTGTTTGTAAGGTAACTTTCCCTCTTTTCTTGGCTGTTAAAGCTGTCGATCCATCCAGACACGAGCGTGTCTGATGTTCAAGTTTTCTCCACTTTGTCTATTACATGTGATAACCGCGTATTCTTCCCGCCATGGGTGAACAGCGCTTCATTTCTATAGCCCTTTCTGTTGAGCAGATGAAGATAATAACCAATCATCATAAGACCTCGCCTGTCAGCGCTCAAAAAGCAGGCGGTATAATATTGACATGAGTTTATTAGCTGTAAATGCTCATGCTGTCTTCTGTGCATGAGTTTTGTTTGATACATTCAGAAAGAGTGCTTTCTTTAAGCAGGTCAAATTAAGAGTAGGGTTCATATATCTGACTGCTGTATTAAAGAACAAAATTGTATTAAAAATAACCCTATAACTGTCACACCAAGACAAAAGCAATAGATTTTTTTAATTGCGTTTCTTAACTCATAATGTCGCTATTTAACACAGTCAATGCATTTTTTTCTCAACACATCCCATAATTTCTAAAATATCAGCCTCTACCAACTGGTTAAGAAGTTGGTTTATGGTAAAAGTACCAGAATTAATAAATATACTACAGAACATATGAAGTGCCAGACCAATTGAATTAAAAACATAATCAAAATTAAAAAAATTAATACTAAACCATAGCCATAAGCCATAAAGTATTTTAGATTTTATTTTAACACAGTACTATACACGCTTTCCTGTTTTTCTTTTCTTTTTTTTTTACAATAAAATCAAAATCAAGTGAATTAGTGCAACAGGATTTAGTTTGCTTGTTTAGTTTAGTTTCACGACTGCTTCCAGAAGACAAAACTCCTGTTTATTGTGGTATTAACCAATCAAACTTCAAAACTACCAAAGTGTGAGTGTGTATGAGTGAATAATGCATGTAAGAGAGAAACAGTGTGATTGTACCTGTGTGTGCGTCTGTGTGTGTGTGTAAGAGAGAGAGAGAGAGAGAGAGAGAGTGTATGAGAGTGTAAAAGAGTGTATTTTCATGTTTGTGTGTGTGTGTGCCCATGTATATGTATAACAACATCGGTATTACACAGATGTTAGGAGGAGATGGTGAATTATGTGTACATTATGTATAAAATTCAATCACACTAAATATTTTTTTATTTTCAGAAAGTAAAACTACACATAATTTCCTGTAAGGGTTGGGTTTAGAGATTGGATTTGGGGTTAGAGCATTCAAAAGTATAGTTTGTAGAGTATAAAAACAATTGTAACCTATGTAATGTCCCCACAATTCACAAAAATGTGTGTGTGTGTGTGTGTGTGTGTGTGTGAGAGAGATAGAGAGAGAACTGTGTGTGAGAGTGTATGAATGTGTGAGAGTGTACATTTAGGTGTGTGTGTGTATGTGTGTGTAAAAGAGAGAGAGAGAGAGAGAGAGTATGAATGAACATGCTGAATTATCTCATCAGTGAAGTGATTTTCTGGTAAAAGAGCCCGACGATGTGAGTTCTTGTACCATAGAAATTATTTACAGAGAAAAACAGTATCATAAGCCATGTTTCTTTTCATTCTGCTTAATCAAGTGCCCCAAAGATATTTAAAATAAACAAAACAATATGATGTCTTTTGACTGCCTTCTTTAATAACTACATTACACAATACTTGTACTTTTACTTTCAGTACTTGAGTAGTAAATTTTGAAATAAACTACTTGCAATACTTAAGTACTAAAAATGTTGAATACTTTAGTACTTCCACTTAAGTATGGTGATTAAAGAGCACTTCTACTTCTACTCAAGTCACTTTTTGATAGAGCACTTGTACTTTTACTTAAGTACGGGTCTCTAGTACTTTATACATCTCTGCCTGATAGATATAGAGCACACCGCAGAGATATCTGAGCGAATGGAGACAAAAGCCGATCCTGCTTGACTAGTTCCGTAATGTCAGCAATGAACTCCAATGTGCTTTAAAATGTGATTGAATTTTTATTGCAATACGTTATAATAATAATAATAATAAAAAAAATACTGCATTAGTTTACATGATATCAAGTAATATTTAAGTAATATCTGTTTTTTTAAATGTTAAATACATTAGCTATAGCAACTTTAATGTAATATAGATTAGTATATTTACCTTTGGGCCACAGCTCTCAATGACAATTATTACTCAAGTAAAAGTACAAGTAACAATCTCAAAAGTTACTCGAGTAAGAGTAAAAGAGTATTTGATGAAAAAATTACTCAAGTAAATAGTTACTTTTAATTAAATATATACATGTGTGTGTGCGCATATTTGAAGTGAAAATGATTCTCCCTCTTGTGATTTTTTTTTTCTTTTTCGAATAATTCCCAAATGATGTTTAACAGAGCAAGATATTTTTCACAATATTTCCTATATTTTTTTCTTTTGGTGAAAGTCTTTAAAAGAAACCCTTTTACATTTCCAGAGTAGCCCCCTCGCGATATTTTCTATTTGCAAACAAGTCAAATGAATAACATTTATTACAGTAACAGAGAAACACCGCCAATTGTACAAGTAAGAGTAATTATTTTCTCCAATATACTTGAGTAAGAGCCAAAGTACACATTTTTAAATGTACTCAAAAAATGTTCTTAAGTAAATATAGAGAAGTAAATGTAATTCTTTACTACCCACCTCTGATAACATGCATGTTTTTCAACATAGAAAGGCGCATTGTAGATTTTACATCTGGTTTAAATCATTCTGACAGACAACAAAACGGACAAACGTTTTCATTCATTAAGAAATATTCGGATATTTTTTGGTGTCCTTAATGTTAGTCTGCATCGATTTGAGTATTTTGAAATGCAAGGCCAGGGTGTGCCTAATTAACTAATGACATCGTCCAATCCCACAGGAAGTGGCATTATTTCCAATGGAATTCGACATCGTAAACGTGAGTATTAACGATAAATTTAAACATTTGTGCTTTCTGTTAACAATAGTTGGTTAACCTCACTTTAAAACCTTTCGTTAAGTTAAAATGGAAATCAAAATGAACCTCAGGTTGACAAAGTAAACAAACTCCTCGAGGCAATGGCAGATTTTACTTTTCCGTCATGTCAGGCATTGAGGAAATATTTGCTTAGAAGCTCATCTTTAAATGTTTATCCTTCATAAAATGTTATTATTATGATTACATTTCAACAACACGCAAATTTTCCTTATCTAAGCTGCCAAAAGTCCTACATATAGGAATAATTTACAACTTAATTTCTCCACTAGAGGGCAACAGTGTCGCATCGTATATATTTGCTAGCGTACACTCTGTCTAGAATCTGTAAATTATTCCACTTGAAAATGTTTACCTCAGATCAATGCAACTGCCTGTATATGACCTCTTGATCCCTATATTTTGATTTTGACATCAAATAAATTGAGCATGAAGGGGAATAGTAGGCCTATAAAACTGCAAGGAAGGTCAAACAAGGCACTCTTTAGCAATTAGTCAATTAGAAATCATCTATAAATCACCATTAGCAAAATTGTGACGTTCAAAAAGGAAGAAATATTTATTTAACAGACCGCTTTGACCTTCACAAAACCCACCACATTTGATCTTGTGTTGTTTCAGCAAACATTCTGACCTAAAATGGATATTTATCTTGGATTATATGGTGCAATATTACCAGGGAATGACGTTCTTCATAAAGGCGAAGCTTTATGATGGGTTAAACATGGCAAACTTCACAGCTTTCCAGAGCATAAACACACATTTGTTTTCTGTCATACTGGGGACTTTCCACTGACTTAATTTTTTATAATAAGCTAGTGATGTTAGGGATGCTAACCCTCACAGAAAACCCTGTTCAATTTACTTGGATTTTCTTTAATGCCTTATTGAGTGTGCTCAAACCTTTTTAAAGTCTTATTTCAGTTTTCTTTTACTTTTGTGCGAATTTGCATTTTACAATGCAGGCAAAGTCATTAATTTCAATGCTGAATT